ATAAAATAAAAAATTTATATCTTTATGTTTGAAGCCTGAAATGTGGCAAAAGGTTGAAAAGTTCAAGGGGGCCGAATACTTTCGCAAGGCACTGTACCTAATTAATCCTACTGTATCATTTTATCTTTATAGTCTCTTGCCAGTTAAAATGTAAGAATTGGAAGAATGATAAAAATCCCCTTATGTGGTCAGGCATGTTGCTCTACATGAAACACACCTTGTCTTCCTGTTTTTTTACGTTTGCCTTAATTCAATGTGATTGCATCTGCGCATCCATTTCTGTATTTGTGTCTGTTTGTGTGGGCCTGTGGCAGTGCCTGTAAATCGGCGTGTGTGCGGCCTTCCGCGGCCCTGTGTGTTGGTAAGCGATTCGTGTCAGTGTGGGCATAACACAGGTAGGGCGTGGGTGGCCTGTGGAAACGCATCGCGATGGCTGTCTTGTGTGAACTGCGAACTGTACCTCAGTAAGCTTGCTGTTGTCACGTTACCACTTTAACCTACTACCTGTGGTTTTCTGAAAAGAAAAGAAACCTTCTTTTTCCCATACGTTCAGAGAGAGAGACTCAAGAAGTCACTCATTTCTGTAACGCTGAATATTCGTGCAGTGACCTTTAAAAAAAAAAAAGTGATATGAGGGTTTCCTTTCTTTAAAGCAATTATAGGAAGAGATGCCTGACGTCTCTCTTTGTTCTTTCACTGAGCAAACTCTGGGTAGGGGACTTGCATGAATTCACATCTGAGAATGCCTTATCACGATGGAGATAACAAAATGTCTGGCGCATGTAAGCGATTTGCAGTGTTCATGAGATATCTGACTGAGCTGGAAAAGGGCAAATTACGAGGGGAGCCCAGCTCCGTCGGTCTAGGTGCTCCCTGCGCTAAACACCGGCATGGCGGGCTCGGGCCTCTTCGCCAGGGACCTGCCAGGTGGCCGCGAGCCTGCGGAGGCGTCGGAGGCGCCGAGAGACGCTGCTGCACCGCGGTGCCGGTGCTCCTGTGAGCGCCCTGTCTAACCGCGTGGCTCTGATGAGTCACAGGACTCCTCGTTCTCCCCACGGGCCCAAGGGAGCTGGCAGCAAGCAGACAAACAACCGGGCGATTCCGGATTGGTTTACGGGCATGTATGGGCTGCAGGTGTGAGCTGTAAAAAGTGTAGCTTCCATGATCCACAAATTTCAACCGTCTACTGGGTGATAGAAATGCCTCTTAGCATCATTAATCCCTCTGTGCTAAAGAGCACTGGCAGCCACAGGTGTAGCTCAGGTCTGTGCCCGTGTCGTCTCTCTGCTCATACAGGCCTCTCTGTCTGTCTCCCTGTAGGGCTGTGGTACTACCTGCAGGGGAGTGACAAACCATGCCTCACTCTGGTTGGCTCACCCAATTTTGGGTACCGCTCTGTCCACCGAGACCTGGAGGCCCAGATTGCCATTGTGACGGAGAACAAGGAGCTGCAGGCCCAGCTACAGCAGGTAGGACTGCAAGGGTCCTTCCCAGCTTGAGTCCTGATTTTTTAAGCGCTGTGTTTTTAATTATGCCCTTTATTTTGTGTTGAATTCTGGTTTTCATCATTTTGCTTAATTCCAGTAGTCCTAATGTTGCCACAACAGCCCATTTGCCTCAAACCAGCTGCCCTGACAGAGGTCTGCTTAGGTGACACTTAGGTGCCAGCTCAGACGTCTAAAACTGGCTGACAAAAGCCCCAGTGATCTCAAAATGGTCATGCGGTTGTTCAACAAGGATTAAGGATGGCCAAAAAGGAGAAGCTCGCCTCATCCGGGTTTCTTTTTTTTTTTCCCCAACTCCCCTTGGCTAGACTAGGTTTTTCCACAGTTCTGCTAGACTCTCTTAGGTAATGTATGCTGAATTGAACGTTCTCCTATTAAACAAGAATGAAGTAAATGTTGCTTGTTTCTGGGAAATGGATCTGAACTAAATGCTGCCTGAGTGCTCCGGCATGAATCTGTTGAAATATGACATACTTTCCAGGACTTAGCTGAAGTTTACTTTTTTCTCATCAGGTTAACCACAAAGAACTCTTTAATCAAGCCTACGCCTGCATAGAACAAATTGCAAGAGAGCTTAATGAGAATCTTCTTTCATTTCAAGAGCTTATGTACAGAGCACAGTGTAACGCCAACAAGACTGCATTGGTCTTTACAGTGAAAAATGTGCAGCCTGTCTGGCTTGGTTTAGACAAGTAACACCTTCACAAGGCGATCAGAGCGAAATAATTCACAGAAGCAGATGTCTGATGAAAAAAACAGAATGGGATATGTGATTACAGCTGCTGACACTGCAGAGAACGTTCAACATAACATTGCAGGAGCTGAACGTGCACACTGAAAAGCTCTGATCATTTCTTTTAATCTCCATTGACATGTAGCTGTATGAAGGGAGTCTAGCATTGCACGGGGTAGTCCCTGAGATGGACGGGTGACCCATCCTGGATAGGGGAGGGGTCACATGTTCTCTTGTCTGCTTAATGCAAAGGAAACCGGGACAAGCTGTTGCCCGATGGGTCGCTGTGGACAGTACCTACTGTGCATTCATTTGTCCCTGAAAGGGGATTGTGATTGTACCTTAAGCTATTAAATGGTAATCCCTTAGTATCTCCCAGTTTAGGAGATGAAGGAATTCAGCACTGAAAAGCAAGGTTGATCTACCTAATGGTCATTAGCTTGGGGGGAGTCTGAGACCTGGGACCAAGGACAATTCTAACATCCATTTTTTTTTGACAGCAAAAACTGTTCAGTGAGTTGCTTAACCTGACTCGCAACACGACTGGGCTTACTCGCGTACATCTGAATGGCAGAGAGTTTACATTCTGCCACAGGTCTGCAATTTATTTTCAATGGTCTGTAGCTGATGCAAATGCCGATACTCAGTTTTAAAGTTTTAAGTTTTAAGAAGTGACAGGCAGCTAGAGCCCTGAAGAGCGCACCAGGCATTCCACAGTTCCTCATACTTTCACCCTGGTCCTTTATGGTACAGTGACTGCCAAACAGCTGAAAAGACCAGTGTGTTGAGTGTGATTTATTGGGAATTAAAGAAAACAGGAAATAAATTTAATCCTTTTAAGCACCACATTGCCTGGAAATCTCTGTGAGTTGGAGCAATTCCCCAGCTCCTTGTGACGTGACGTGAGCTTCTTTTGTGACGTCCGTGTTTGGTGGTTACTTTGGTACTTTGGTAGTTTCCTGACTGGACAGCTTTTTCCACACTCCTAGAACCCTGAGGATTTTCAACTATCCTTTTCAGCTATACAAAGGCCACCTGCCTGTCAACACAGTAGGGCAGTCTGGGCTTCAGGTTTATTAAAATTCAACACAGACCCTTTTGAATTTTGGTCTGCTAGAGGCTGCCCATCTTCATTATTACTAAACTTACATGGTTTAAAAAAAAAAAGACCGGGAAGCATTTCTAACTTTATACTTGCTTGTTAAAATGTGTGAAGTGCATATTTATATATATATAATTTATAAATGTTGTGTTTCTATTAATTATATTTTATTAATTCATATAAGGAAATGTGACATATGTAGGTGCAAATCAAAAAGACCTCGGCCTGTGAGAACTCGGGAGTCAGAAGCGAGTTGATCTCCAATGCTAGCTGGTCCTCTTGATGATAATATGGGAATGGTCATCCCACAGGAACAGGAGATGCTGTATCAACGCTCCACAGAGGTGTCCTCCTCCACCTTCGAGCAGCCTAACCGCTACGTCAAGCTGTGGGTCAAACTGGTCAGTCCATTCATCAAGAACTTCTTTTAACAAGGAGACAGACCCCCTGCACCAACATGCTGCTCCACACTACCAGGAACAGGTACAGAAGAGCTGTCGGCCAAAGTCACAGTCTGCCTTGTATAGGGTCCTGAAACATACCAGGCCACCCAAGCCACAACCCCCTTGCTCTGCAGAGCTTCTTAACCTTCCCGCTGCTAACAAAGTCCTGCACAGGGTATGAGGCATGCAGACATTTCACTGATTTGCAGAAATGTTGATGGGAATTGAAGGATATCATGGTTCACTGCCTTTTGTCTGGATTCAGATCATAAAGACTATAGTGTGACTTGATGCATTTTTCGATACAATTCCATAGTTTCTCAGTAGTCTCTTATTTGATAAATGATGGATCCATATATGCAGTTAATAGTCCAGATTGTTTCAGCCTATGGAAAGTGTTTTTTTGGGGGAAGAATCTAAATGTTTAAAGAACAACCAAAGAACATTTTCCACAAATGTGTCGTTTTCTGATTCACATTAAAGGCTTTTTATCACATCTTTACCACTAAATTCTAAAGAAACCATAACCTTTTCAACATCCTCTTTATAATTTTGTTAAAGAGGTTAAATATTTTTTCCTGCTTTTGAAGTGGAGTTTCTCTTTCTAGTGAAATTCAGTATAGGGGCTCTCCAATACAGCATCTTTCACTAAAGAGAAGTGGTGAAGGAATTACTGCATTGGTATGGATTTTAGAGATGGTCACTTTAGTTAGAATGTCATGCTGGAATTTTTTTTCAGGGGCCCCATGACTTACTTGATCAATACAATGTAACTGTACTTCTGATTTCAGTAGTATTATACTTCACAGGGCTGGACTAGAAACATCACTCCAAAGGTCCACTGTAACGTTCCAGATGAATACATGGAGACATGTTTATACTTCTGTGCATTGTCAGTTTTGTTTTTTTCTGTGCTTCGCATTGGCTCTGTTTTTGGCTGATCACAGACTAGCACGAACCTGCACTTGGAGATTCAGAAGAGCTGTCTGGTTAGCCGCTGACCGTGTGGAGGAGAAGGAAATGGCATGAAATGGTTATAAGTGTATTACATCTTTATACAGGCTCTTATGAGGTGATAATGTTTGAAACACTTAATTCAGAAATCTTATCACTTTAATGAATACTTTTATTACATAAAAGTAGAAGATTACACAAGTATTTGTTATTCAGTTTTATACCAATTACAGTTATGCAGTTAGTTTCCATGGCATGAAATAAAATAAAAGAGCATACTCAAGCTTAGAGGCTTACTAAGCTGAAGCTTGTCCTGTTTTCTTTAGCACTAAGTGGACTGAGTGTACATGCCTCCCAACACATTAGTCCATCGCATGGTAACTCCCAGAAATACAGGTTCCCATTTATACAAGCCAGAGCACTGGATCTACTAAGAACCTGAAAGCAAGCCTTTATGTTAAGAGTCCAGAGACATACAGGTTTTATAAATAGAGATACTGATCGTCGGCTCTTGAACCATTTGTAAGCCTTAGATCGGAATATGGTTTTTCTAGCTTTTGAGGGCTGCAGAACATCGCTATGCTGATGAGCTCTCTATAGCTGACTATTCTGTTTTAGAGTGTCTGGGGAAAATGCTGCAATCGTTAAAGCTTACAGCTCTTATACACCAGGTAATATTTTGCCAACATACTGAACAGCCAAACTATTCTCATTTCTTCACACTGATCTTATCGGCACATACTGATGCCAGCAGGGTTTTCACATTAACCAGTGCCAGCATGCTTTGTACACTTAGTATTTTCCCCTTTCATCAGATAAAAACAATCTTTACCGAGGTTATCTTCTGAAGTTTTTATAAAGTGTAGGTGGAGGAGTTTTAGAAAAAAACTAAAAGCAGTTATAGTAAGGGACTCTGTTTATGATAAATACAGAAAAGATAAAAGGCTCATCTTTTTCTTTTCCAGAAACTGGATTTTTAAAAATCAATCATATAATTCTAAAATTAAAATTATGCAGCAAATGATGAAAGTCTACCTCTGTTTTAAATTTCTTATCTTTTTTTTATCATTTTTCTTCCTAGTCTCAAAGTGTATACCTACTCCTTAGCATCAGTGATAACCTCAGGTATTGAGTAGAAATTTTAGTATTCATATGTCTTAACCCACATCTTTTAGTGTTGGGTTAAAACATTTTAGGGCTTTTCATCTGTATTAGTAAATATTGCTGTCCTTTAAGAGTTTTGAATTGCAATCTTCAGATGATATTACCCTGAACTGCAAATTTTGCCTCAACTCGCACAAGGGTGTGGGCCCAGTCTGTGTAGTACTGTAATACTAACAACATCGTATACCAAGATCATGTACTGTACATATTTGTATACAAGTTCTAGCTTATCAAAATGATTCCAAGAAAAGAAGTAACTTGTACAGCCATTTGCGCATTGGGATACTTTGTATATATTGTATTTTGTGAAGCACAATCAAAGAATGCACAGCATGTGTGGTACAGCCAAAAATGGGATACCTTCAATGATTTAATTTATCACTTCCAAAAATATTTTATAGACAATTCATATAACTGCTAAGGTTTCTGTAATGACATCTGTGATTTTAAGTGATAATTGTTAAATATTTCACATAAAATCCATCTTTCAATAGGAGTATTTTTTCATGTTACATATTAAATATTACAAGGTTTTGTTTGTAGGTTAATAGACCAAGTTGCTCATCTGCAGACATCATACTAAGGAACTGAACTAGAATATTTGATAGTATATAGTAATCATTCAATATTGGACATGGTGTGTACAGTAAGTCAGGTGATTTCGATGCAAAGATGTGTTCATGAATGGAAAAAGATAAGATAGAAACAGTTGCAATTTACTTGAATTGCAAAAGTGGTTGCTGTGATCTTGCACGCTGATGGTAGAGTGCAGAACTCCTTGTGTGCTTACAGTATACTGAATGGACTCATGTTTGGGCTCCATCACAAATACACCTACCAGTGACTGATGGATTTCAATTGTTTTTCTGTCTCAAGGGTAGCCTCATCGTGATAGCTGTCAGGCAGTGAGAATAGAACAGGACTTTTTTCCAGTAATATTCAGCCTTGAAATGAGAGATGAACCATATTGTTATGATTTATTTAAATACCAATACAATACTTGTTCTGTGAATGCACAGACCCACTGTAAAAGGGAGCTGACCATTCCAAAGCTATTACTAAACAAGAGTAAGCCCAAGCCTTTATTTAAAATGCATAGCAATTGAATGAATTGATTGTATGCTTCTAAAGAGCAGTGAAATCTGAAACCCTCTGTTACAAAAAAATCTGAAAACATTTTGACCTTGTTGTGTAGGAAATAAACCTGTTCTTACGGTGCCTTTAAATTATTTCATCGTTGGTATCAACTTTCAGTTGATAATACCATGTTCTTTAATATTCTTGCAAGAAAAAAGACACTTTTGTTAAATGGCAGAGCAGTGGGCAGTCCACAAGCAGTCCCTTCAGCCCTGCTGGGAACTGCAGATTGCACTAAGACTTGTACTGATTCTTTGTTGTGGCTTGCTGAGCAGGGCTCCTGAGTTGTTCTATGCAAAACATTGCAACAGACTTCCGTGAAACTTTTGTACAGGGGCTCAAAGTACTTCAGTAGCCCACACTTATTTCCTGTTTAGTCCTAGAAGTTCTATTGTATAAAAAGACACTCCTTTTTTCTAAAGTAAAAGAAATAACCACAAACATTTGCAGTTGCATGGGGTAGACCTCAGTTGTTTTGGTTATTTTTGGAAATTAGTTTTTTTATATTTGAATGTATTGTTTAAAAAATAAACATTCCTCCATCTTCATTCCATTCTGCAAGCTGTTCTATATTTATGACAATAGTTATAATAAGAGAAAGTGCTTGAAATTTTAATGTGGTTACCAATAGTAACTAATGCATAATTACATGGTACAAACTAATATATGTTTCCTGTTCATATATTTGTTAAATATTTTGTGTCTATTAAATTTGATCATGCTTTATGGGACTGTGTTATAATAAAAATGATACATTGACTTGCATCTTATTTTTTGTAAAAGACTCGGGACCTGATATTCTATACCTTAGTCTGCAAAAATAACGTCATCCAAGACTACCATTTCCCCCCTTTTACATTTTCAAAAGAGGTAGCCTACATGTTGTTTTTTAGTAAAAAGCAGATGAGTGTCTTTTGCAACTGCCTTAAATACAATAAGAGAAATATAATGCAGATATAAACATCCTGTTGTTTTGTTAATACTGTACTTTGGAAAACATTTCACAAGGACTGATGGGAAGGAGCACGTTATGTATTGCTCAGGGTACGTGTGAGGACCCAGATTTTTTTCTATTCTGGATTGTGAAACACTGTTGCGCAAATGTATTCAGTAACATGTTTGTTGTTGTTCTAAAAATCAAGAGCTTAAAAAATATATTTTTAGAAGAAAATGAGAGGAGACTATTTATGGGAGATTCCATTATTGTTGGGATTTTGGAAGACATTTTGAAAGGGATATAAAGTTTTACTAGTAACCTGTTTGGTTTCTGTGAAATGACATGATTTGTATGACATATTGTGACTATACCTTTACAATATCAACAGATTTAAGGATCTTATTTCAGTCTTTATTTGTAAGCTATTGTTTTTTCAACCTAATTTAAATTGTTAGGTACATAATCAGTAATGTATGACTTCTTATGTTTTTTAGTTTGCAAAAATGAAGGAAAATTGTAAACTCATGGGATTTCATTTAGATGCTCTTAATTTTAAGTACTCTCCAGTGAAGTTAGACAATAGCATTTCAATTTATTTGAGCCACGTGCATTTACAATTAGTTTGTAATCACAAAAATATGAAACAAAGACTGGGCCTTGTATTATGAAGGATAAATTGAATTCAATGGGAAAGACTGACACCTTGTGGATCTTAAAATGAAATTCATTTTAAGATTATAGTAATTTGAAAGGAGGCTTTCTCTGAATTTCTTATTCTGGATTAAGGGTTTTTACACACGTTTCAGTGGTATATATTTTCAATATTTTTCTGGAGCATTGATTTTAAACAATATAAACCTAATCCAATAAAAAGTATTTCTATTGGTTCTATTAAAACTATATGTAAAAGTGTTTCTATAAACTTGTTTTGTTTAGTTATTGAAAAAGTTAAAGCAGTACTTTGCTTCTTACCTATACAAACTGATTAAATAATCAATGCTAAATGTACTATGTTTGTGCAACAGAATTACATTAATAATGTGCAGCAGCTATATCAGTCAGTGGTTTTCCCAACCTATGCAAAACTGTAAAATATAGTAGGTAATATTACAGAGTAAGTGAATTAGGACCAGATGAAAGCTGATCATGTACAGTATGCATGCTTTTAGATTTTCTTGATTGCCCTTAAAAACAGTGTTATTTCCTTTGCAGTAGTCTTTATGAAGGTAATTACATAACTTAATGTGGGTGATTAATGTAGGCATATTACACAGCACTCTTCTGGAACACAACCTACAGTCATTGGGTAATCAAGCCCTGAATCATTAAGATGGTACTTTAACTAAGATAAATGGTTTCTGATATATCTGTCTTCTTACTACGAGTAGATTGACTCGGACATCAATAAGAACAGGAGAACCAATTACATTAGGTATTGTTTAATATTATTATTAAATAATATACTAACAGTACTATGGCTGTTGCAGGTCCAGTGCGGATAAGAATTAAAAACACCCTCCTTGAAGGCGGATGTTTATAATTATTAAATTAGGGATGAAAATAGTTTAATAAAAAGTATATTTTTAGGAATAAACATTGTTCAAGCAGACAGTCCTAAGCAGAAATACTAACATTCTTTTACACAAGGACAAAGGCAAAGGAAGGGGAGGTGGTTATTTGACGACTTCTGGGAAATGGTGAAAGCACTACCAGTCACTTGTTAAGGGAACAGTAACAGAAAGTTATCTTGGGTTAAATTCACCAGAACTATGTAGACATATGTTCACTGTCTGCCGAAAGAGTTTTTCTACAGTTTCACATTATCCCACTATTTTGTAAAATAGTGGGATAAAATAAAATAGTTTTATTTTTAACTTAACCTTAACTCATTTGGTTTTACAATGTATGTTCCTGTGCCTTTAATGTATTTTCTCATCTTTCTCAATGTTATCCCTCCAAACATTCATTTTCCTTAGTTTTTAAGTTCTACTGACTGTATATTGTTCAAGGAAATGTGATCTTTGAGCTCTGCACACCCAACAGATGAATTGAGATGTCATAAGTGGTTGACCTTAAACACTTTTTGCTGAATTTTTCATGCTTTATAAAAAATAACCTTTTTTTGCATTTTTATTCTAGTCTTTATGTGTAACTGAACAGAAACAGAAGTTTTGGAATGGTTGATAGTGTACTTTAGAGTGCACCATACAGAGACTGAAAAAGACTTCCTTTGCAAACTGGTTAAACTTTCAAAAACTGTTCCTTCTGTGTTTGTTTTACACATTTGTGGATTAGATCTGTAATAGCAGGCAGACTGCTGCCAGTACCCATTTAGCTGGTTTCTCCTTTGTTTTCAGGTTGAATGTCCAGACAAAGGTTGGTCCGCGGATGCGAGTTTTGTACACTGGACATTCGTAGATGTTCTTGGTCTCTTGCCTGTCCACGGGAATGGCTTTAATGAAGATCACTGGCATGGCAGGGGTTAAATCCTTCAACCTTGCATCTGCAATCACCCCAGCCTGAGTGTCCCAGCGAGCTCCTGCAATGCACAATAACATTGGGAACTAGGACTTCATTTCTTGAACTCATATCCTTTTGTTCCTGATGGTATATTACATTAGAAAAGGTATCATTTATCTAGTCTTTCCTATTTTCATGGTTGTTTCATATTCAGTGTTTGCTCTTTGAAAAAAATATACAGGCCCAGCAGTATGGAACAATTTTCATTGATAAAATCGAAGTAACTTATCTATGAATAAATGACCAATACTACCTCCTACCATTCCTGTTGCAGATGTGCATCCCACTTGTAATCTAGTGGAATGAAATTTACTGGCAGCTTTAGGCTTTAGAGCCATAACATTCTTTCCTTATCTAAAAGGTGCAACTCTAAGCACATAACTCCAAGCACATTTACTATATCTCTGTTTGTATTATGCAAAAATTAATCCTCTGCAAGTGTTTGGAAAAATATGGAAGTTAATCACAAAAGATGTTTTTTCTCATTTCCTAGGAATGAGAAAAACAGATGTTAAGCAGTGCACTGAATCACCTTGCCAGAAGGAAAAAGGCTGTGAACTTCTAAAGGTGTTGTTTTTTCTGCTTCTGGCCCATTAACATCCAAATATCAATATCTTTATCACGTATGCAGATACAAATAAATATTCCATGTTCATCCCAGGATGAGCATGTACAGTAATCTAGCCTCCATGCAATAGATTGAAATCTAGATTATAATTTATCAACACTGACAAACAGAAATATTACAAAGTCATTTTCTTTCCATTCTTTATAAACAGTAATTTTTACATAAATTACAATTAGTAAAGGTGTCTTTTGTGTGTAACTAATTGGATATTAAGACATTTGCAAATTGAAAATATTCTTAGACAATATTAATTCCTCTGTAACTGAAGATTCCAAAATCTTCCAGACTGCACAAATGTTTCCTTAGTTGCACTAGTTTCCAGTACAAACTGATTGTATTTAATGAGTGTAAGTGTTTTGAAGCATTGTTTTTACAGGCTCCAAAAACCGTGTTTTTGTGAGCAGGAAATAACATCATTAGCTATGTCATCTCTTCTCCACTAAACCACAGATAGAAAGAACAGGGTAACTCAAGTGTGAGGTAAGAGATTATTTTTTGGAGGACAAAGTAAGTAACCGACGCACAGGGATACAACTGCTGGGAATTCTATCCTTATGGGAGGAAGGCAGAGAGCACATGCTCAACTCTGCTTGGTCATTTCAGACAATGGCTTCCAGCCCTGATCCTGTGGCCTGCTGTCTCTTTCAGTTTTTGTTACAGCCATGTTATTAACTGCACACTAATTTATTTACCTTTTCTTCCCATGTTGTATTTTAAAATGTACTTGCAGTTCTTTTAATTGAAGGGATTTGTAATTTGGCTCTATCCTGTATTCTTCAGTTTCAGAACTCTGTATTTGGATGTGGTACTCAGTCTTGGGCCTCTATAGAATGGGGGGAAAACTGATTTTGGGAGTATATGAGGCATTCTACTTCCTATGTTGGGCTGTTGTGTGCTCCTCACAATGTTATTGTTAATTCTTCCTCTTAAGACTGATCACACATTAAGAGATGTCTAACTAGAAATAAGGGAAAAACCTTTAAAGATGAGGAAAGATATCATTAAGTTTATAATGCTGATATTAGCAACAGCATCACTTAACACCAGTATGTAATGTCTTAATGAAAGTTAGTGAAAACCAGCAGCGCAGTCTACCCCTCGCATAGGGACCCACTGATTCAGGAGTCTTATGCAGTCTGGTATCAGGATTGTAAAGTGAAGCAATGAAAAAGTCTGAATAAACCCAAAATGTTTAATTACCAGTTAACAGTTACAATTACAATTACCAATACATATTAGCTGTACTTTTGTTAATCATGATTCATCTTGACACCAACAGCAACAGAAATGATCTTCTTTACTTTTGAAACTGGGAGAGGGTAGGGGACTAGGTGCCTTTTGCCAGTGTACCATAATTGTTTGTGGTTTTAACAAGTTTTTACAGGTTTTTAATTTTAACACAATTCTATGTTTCTCATTCTACAACTTAAAAGTCCTTTTCTTTGTGATAAAACTGAAACAACACAATGCTTAAATTGGGCACTCCAGAAGAGAACTGAAACCTTGAAAATGTCTACTGTATTTCTGAGCACTTTCCCGTATTGTCTCATAATATGTTGGCTTAATGTACTATGTACATTTTAAACTGTTTAATTCTAATGTACAAATATATTCTCATGACTGAAAACTGAGTGTGCATGTATTAATGTGAAGTTGCTATCTTTTCCAAGTCCCAGGAGTCCATTACTAAAATGGTACAGAGGTTTTTCTGACACTGTCAAATGTTATTGCAGATCTTTGATTAAATACATAACATGAAGATATGTTATGCAAAGTGAACTTTATCTTAAAATGATGGCTCAAATATGTTTGTTTGTATTGTTTACAAAAATCTTACTTTTTTTGGAAACAGTGTCATTATTACGGATACTCCAGAGTTTCCAAATGTTCTGCACAAAGTGTGACCTACCCTCCATGAAGAGACCATGCACGTAAGCACCCTCTCTGGGCGGGCTGGTCATGTCCTCGCGGTTCTTCTTTGTGACCTCCACAGAGAGACACATCTTATCCAGGGGCCACTCATTCTTCCTGGCCGTGGACTGCATGATGGCAGTGAGGAAGGACTGAGGGTTAAAGAAGCCTGCCAGCCACACAGCTGTGGGAAGGGCGAAATCTGTAGTCCAGGACTCCAGCTCCTAAAGGATGAATTCATCCGCCTTTTACCATGGTAATGCTATTTATACTCACTGCCACCCATGCAAACAGAAATTACCACACCTCCATTAAATTACTGTGAATAGTTGCATTTCTGAACAAGTAAAAGCTTACCCTGATTCTTAGCAACAGATCTGCATACCAAGCTCCTAGTCCGTGAAGTGATGGATAGGCAAGCTTTGTCCAAGACTCCGGAACACTATCTAAAAACAGGGCATTGGAGAGCTCCTCCATATCTGATGTTATTGTTAATTCTCCCTGTTACAAAACAAAGTTTTTAGTTTTTCCTCACATAACTGAATTACTGAATAAAAGAAAGACTTTATCATGCTCATTTAAAAAATAACACCACCAATTCACCATTTACTATACTATATACAATGTAGAAAAAATCATAGCATTTTATAAAGCAAGACTCACCTTTAAACCCAAATCAAGCTCTTTCAAAGACCTCCTTATTTCTTTGGTCAATATGTTCATTCTTTCACACTCTTGCAGAGCAACAACTATATAGGGAGTCCTCTCCTCCACCTTGGCCATAATCTCCATCATGTTAAATCCATCTGGTAGCTTTTCTAGGATTTCATCCAGAAGTCCTTTTACCTGAACAAGAAAGTTTACGAACAAGAGGAGGAGGCGGTTTGGCTCATCCATTTACCTTACTTGACTAAACGAATAGGTCAGTTTCACTGATAAGGTATTAGTGGAAGTTAGCAAAAATGCTGAGTATGTTATTTTTCTTTTAACCCTTAAGGCCTAAATTGTTGTTTTATTTCTGGAAAAATAAGTACTCCTATATTGTGGGAATACTTCCTTTGATAGAAAAATAAAACTTACTTTCATATAAAAACTCAACCTTTCAAACTATAAAACTCAAACTTTCATCGTTGTACAACAATATTTACTGGCAGTCCCACTAGGTCTCTCTACACATATGCTAAAAGTACCCAAGTTGAATATTCTGATGTTATTATGTTAAATGACTTTTATACAAGGTATGCATATATTGTTTTATTAGATGCATTCATAAGTTAATCATTCTAACTAAAAAAAAACAATTTTAATGCAAAGGAAAATTTTTAAAAGAGTGGGCACCTTGAATGGGGCTGAGATTTTCTTCAGTGGGACATAATTAACATCTGGCTCTTTGGAAGACTAATGCCTGCCAGTGTCCACTTTGAGGCTGCTGTCTGATGTCTTTTTAGCATGCCTGTCTCTCCACACCAGAAGCCCCGATTCAGAGTTGAGAGGTGTATTCAATCAGCAGGACTTTATCAAGTTCCAATATGTTTTCCATAATTGCATTCATTGTTTAACTTGCATGAAATGGTTTCATATTTCTCAGATATAAATAATGGTTTACTTACTTTCTCCTCTCGAGAGACCCCAGCCCCTCCAGCTGCGTCTGATTCCTTGGGCTGCATCTCTAACACTGTTCGAAACAGTTTCTCAGATGTGATGGTCAGGAAGCCAATCTCAGCATTGGGATGTAAACCATAGAGATAAGGGCTTTCTGCAGGTAGCGTTTCATCTATATACCCATGGTAACCCTGTTGAACAGTGAACATATTTCTTGCAGCCGTACAGTAGCCAATACATTCTGTGTATAAAACATTTTCAGAGGTCTGTCGTGTTATATTCTAAGTGTCAACCATCATTTGATTTTCAGCTCCTGTATTATGTGTTATATACTGGATAATACAACACAAACCATGCTCATTTTTTAAATTAAACGAATGCATTGCAAAGCCATTTATTGCTGTTAATTCTAAAATTCTATTGTCCAAATAATTATTATTTTCATAGTGCTTTTCATGCACTGTATCCCAAAGCAGCTCACCTTCTGGGTGATGTAAAGGTGATCAGGTGGAGACATTAGAAGTAATCACCAATTAGGGGGGAGTTTAGGCCGTCCAGACTGTACAAGCCCAGGGTGGAAGTATACTAGGACACTGAGGTGAACATCTCTCACTATAACCAACACTGGCATGGATATTAATAACCACGAAGTTTGGACTTGTGATTAATTTTTCATCTGAAGAACAGCACCTTATGGCAGTGGCTCCTGTTGCTACACTGAAGTATACTGGTTTGGAAATTCTGATCAAGAGGGAATCTGGAGTATTTTAAGAGGTTTCTTGCTGCAGCACTGACATGGCTCTGTCCTGTTTACCTTATAAGATGTAACAATATCAGGCTACGTGGTAGTGTTTACATTATGTGTTCGTATAATACAGTGTGGGAATGGAACTAGCTGTCACTACAGACCTTGTAGTCAGAGTTAGGAGGTATGAGGAATCCAGGTGCCAGGTGCAGTTCTCCATCCAACATTTCAGGACGTACATATTCTTGAAGGTATGTTCTGCAGAGCTTCCGGTCCCAGTCATCTGTGATGTGTCCACCGTACATGATCTCTCCAAAAAGGTAGCGCAAATCATCCCAGGGAACCTGTAAAATTGGAAAAGAAAAGCAAAAATAACTTAAACATAAAAATAAATACATTAATACGGTAACACAGAATCTTGTAGTAAAACAAGTTATTTAAAAAGACTATCTTACTGTATCTATTCAGTTACCTTAGCATTGGCTTCTAGATAGTTATACAGCACATTGACAGAGATTGTGAGGTCCCCGTTATTGAAGGGATAGGACCTGTTCCAGCCCTGAGCACCAAACTTGCGCCTCTCAGCAACCACAGCATGAAAATAACACAAGGCAAAAAGTATGCACTTGAATTCAGACTCCTTAGAGCACATCTCTAAGGTATCCTACAATTGAAAAAAAAAGAAATGTTATTACAATTATCTATTGAGTATTATGATGCTAGAATTCCATCAACATGGTATTTATAAAACATAAAATGTACATTTGTATATAAAAACCATTAAACTGCCTGTAATTTCTACTTGAAATAGCATGCCCATGTCTTGTTCTTGGGCATACATCCTTCCTTCTCTGGGCTATGTACAGTACCTGATTGAACAAGTCCAGGGCTTTGTGCAGGTTCGCATGCATGCCTGTGGGAGGCTCATTGGTGATTTTAATAGCGTTCTCCAGAAGGCCTTGGGGGATGATGTGCGAGTCAGTTGTAGGAGCAGGCTCTGCGCTCATGAATACCCGATAGTCCTCATGACTCCCTATACTAAACATCTCCACTTTCTTGTCCAAAGTATTCAGCCATTTTGCCACAAGATGGATATTCTATAATGCAGATGATTGTGTTGAAGAACAAAAGTATATCAAATACAGTTAAATGTTTTGTGCATCCTTTTCACTGAAGGCTTCTACAATATATCTATTTAAACAGAAATTACACCTAATAACTATAAAGAACTCAATTTGTATTAAAAATATAGAAAGATCTGAAGTTTACGCCATGCTGTGTGCCAATGCAACAAGATTCTAATGCATATTTCCATACCTGCAGAATTACCCAGTGTCCTTCCTTTGCAGCAATATCCAGAGCATTCTCTGCAACTACTTCCTGACCTTGACCCAGAGACACGTTATGAAACTTGTTGTTGTCAAACATGAAGCCCAGCTTTTTACCTTTTAAGAGAAAAAAACAAGTATTATACCAAGTTCTGTACCAGCTTAGTTTACGGGCATTTCAACACCACTACATTATATACTCTTACGGAATGCATTAACATAAAATGGAAACTTTCAGGTTCAATACTAAAATGCATCTCACAGATATTGTTAAGCTGTCTGAAGCACACTGTGTTCTGACACTTGGGCCTGCTTGCTTACCCAGTGCTTCTACATCTTTGAGAGGGTCCACTCCCGGTGAAAGGATAAAGAACACTGGGGTTGATGAGCTGCTCTCTTCATAGGACACTGAGAATTCTACACTGCGGCCTTCTATATACTTAGTCCCCAGCTTTTCCTCAACAAAGTTCCTGATATATAAGATATATAAGACTGCACATCAGAGGTAGCTTATATTTGTCAAACGTTTTATAATCTGTAAAACGTTAAAAAACTTACAGGTATCCGCTGCAGTAACGCAGGATATTTCAAACGAAACTTTTTTGAGAGGTCACAGCAAAATGTGATTTTAAAAAGTGAAAAGAAAAAAATAACATCAATTTTGCAAAGGCAAGTACGTTCAAAGTGGAAACTAAAGGTTATATCTTACCGTACTGCATAAGACATTCTGTCTGGCCTCATACACCTCATCATGCAGAGTTTCTGGAGTCCCGACTTATTTTTCCACTCCTGGGGAAACTTGTCTTTTTCTGGTGCCTCTGACTCCACAAATTTCTTCCATCTTTTTGCTGAACCTTCAATGTCTCTGTCCAGGTTTTTAAACTCATCCATTTCAGCCAAAGCCTTCATTAACAAACATGAGTATTTGTGGAAAATGACTCTACAATCTTTTAGTTATGGTCATAATTGTAAATTTAACATACAAAGACTGCTTTTTTTATTAAGTTTGGTCTTGTATTACATTTTCTGTTCACATGAATCTTGTTACTGTAAAGAAATGTTATTGCTTGTTTTTCAGTTTCACATTTATGTATTGCTTTTGAGTTTGGTTAACTTAGCGAATGCATTCATAGTATTTTAATTTATTTATTAAATATATTTTATAGATGATGGCACTAGATAATGCTGTTCTAGTGTCTTTTAGTTACTAGTCCTTTGAGGATATGAATTAATCTAGCGGGCACTGTAACTAACATTTCAATCTATGAATTCACAGAAACAAACCTTAATCCCACCCCATCCTTGGTTTGAGAGAAAATCAACCGGGCTGATCAAACCTGCTTTGAATGGGAATCGCAAGAGGAAATCCAATTCAGCAGGATTCACTTCCTTCTTCATCACTAAAATCTTTTTAAAAAATGACAAAGAACTTTGGAATGATTTCTTGAAAATGCAGCCCAGCCAGCTAGTTGACATACAGCAGCAATAACATCACATCAATTAGAACTGATGCCCAGAATGATGCCTACGAATTCTGTAGCTCACAGGATACATATTCAGTTTTAATGTTCTGAATACAACAGCTCATAACAGCTTAAACAGGAAGCTCATTTTGTCATTTTTAATTGTATTGCTGTTAGAACGATACCTATCCAGTTAAGAGTTGTCAGACGGTTTTTGAATAGGAGCAGTTTTGATATGGGCCACATATCATCAAAATCTTATGATCCAGTATGGAAATAAATATAATAACATTATTATTATAATATTTTCACAATTAACATGGGAGGGTTATATATATGTGTCTGGTTTGGGTGTTAATCAAATCTGTAAAGTTTCAACTCAATTTCAACAGTTCTGCTCATCCCAAGATGATTTTGAAAGTTTTTTTGAATATGTCAGGCCACTGTCTTGGTTGGCTCAGGACCACAGCTTCAGTAATGTGGAATACTAGGTCTTCAGTGCTACACTTTCCAAAGTTGAAGTTGATCAGCTACACTGAATCACATCCAGTTTAAAATTCAAGAAGAAAAAAATATATAAAAATCTTGCAATTACAAAAGGCTTCTACACTTACTGCACAAATCAAATAAACAAATCCAACACAATCACTAATTCCAAATTGTCTTCATTTTGTATATGTTAAAAGAGATTAGTACATATTTCTGTGCTTGTTAATTTTCCTGAATCTGATATTAGAAAATAATCTCCTTAATATATCATCTTACTTTATTACTGCATTGAAGAAAAATAAAAGGTCTTGTTCTACTCATTTTATTGTCACATACAAAAATGTTGCCTGAATATTCTTACTTACTTGGAATGCCACCTGTGCTGTGAAGGTAAGTTTGTCCCTTTCAAACAGACTTCTGTTTGTATACATGAACACAGAGTAGGTGATTTCATCTATTAGGTTATCGACCCTCTGTTTCACCTCTTCAGCTGGCTCTGAGCGCATGATAGCCTTCTCAAACACTACACTGAATGCCTTTTGAGGAATGATTGGTTCATTAAAAAAAGCAATAAAATTTAAAACAGAATCCATTTCACACATTATGACTAGCACATCACAAATATTTTTTTCTCTTCAAGGGAGGAAAGATATGCAAAAGACATTATTTTCAAATAGTGCATTATACATAAACATCACTTTTAACAAAAACAACAATCTATAAATTCTGATCTGTGAAAGGACAGTAACTAAATATGTACAAAATTTTAAGGAAAAAAACCAAAAAGACAGAATTAAGCATTTTACCTTTAAAGAGAACTGATAGATGGGGTTTATTTTATTTAAGTCATTCAGAATGAAGTACAGTAATGCTGCTCTTATAGATGCTGGCCTGTAGTTTTCTCTTGCTTCATTGATTTTAACTTCAGTGATTTTTGCTTCTCGCACCTAAAATGTGAATGAAAATACTATTAAGATGACCAGATTTAAGGTGTCTTCTACATTAACAGCAATTGGTTGACATGATTGTCTTCAAATAACAACACTTGCACAATGTTTAACAATCTCCACTTCTCTGCAATTCATTGTACAGAAGGGATTGAAAATGTTAAAGGACTGCGGTCACACAAAGTCTCTTGCGTACTTAGTGCTCGTGAACAATGAGGTAAACTGGGAACTGATTTAAGCTTGTTATAACATGAGAATAAATTAACTTGAGTTGTTTCTCACCTTCTCCTCAATCTCAGTAGCAGTGCGTTTGGTTGTCTCTAGATTCTCCACGAGAGCAGTATCTCCCAGGAAGTTTCCTGAAGCGGCAGAAAGCCGAGCCAGCAGCGAGTCCTCCAGCTGCTTCAGCACGATCTTAAAGTCATTCTGCTGCTTGGTGAGGCCAGCCTGTAACCGGCCACACGATGCAACAGCAGCTAAGTATCTGTGTTACGAGTTGCTCCACAATGAGAATAAAATCATTTTTCAGTGTGGATTATAAATGTATCTGTATATCGCTCATGTGTTTTTTTATTTTTATGAATTTTGATTAATGGTACAGCACTAACATTTTAACGACTACAAATTCCTAATGAATATCTCTCACTTCCTCCAATATCAGATGCCATTCTGGTATCAGATTACATTTATCAAATGGAAGTCACCGACATCCCCACATTCAAAATGAATATTGACTGAATGACCCATTATTTTTGCCATATTACCTTCGAAACACTGCTATTTCTTATACACTTTTAAGCTGTGTGGGGATGTGGTAACAAAGTGTAATAAAAAAAGATTCGGAGGATTTAAATAAAGTGTGATATTGAAAATATGCCACCATCTTTTGTATTATAGCAAAAGACAAACAAATATTTATCCAGAACTAATCACAAGCCAATTAATCTCAACACACAGCAGTTTCTTCTAAAGGTTGTCTGCCTGTTTCAAACTCCAGTAGATCCAGGTGACCAAACACTATACCACATAAATAAATGTCTGTCAACCCAGTAATGTAACATGCTTCTTCCTAGTTTTTCCTGGTTTAGCCCTAATAACAGATGAAACTCCATTTCACCTTAAGTTCCTCCAGATCAGGTCTCTCTTTGGCCACCACAGCAGCCAACAGCTGGTCCTCCAAGCCATCTCTGGTCACCAGGAAGTTAATGAGTGTGCACTGGGCTTGCATCTCTGGTTTGTAGTGAGGATTGAAATACTTTGTATGCAAAATGAGCCTGAAACTTGGATGATACTCCACCTCCTTGTCACCTATCCGAATGTATCTGTGAAATACAGTTAAAACAAGGACATCACAAAATAATCCGCTTTCATATTTTAAAAATATTACTTAATACAATTAAGTTGTTAATATGTTTATACTTGAAACAAAAGGTTGAAAAAGAAATGTATAAATGCGCTAGAGAAAAGAGGAAATAATTAGCACATGCACTCAGATGTAGAGTCTTACTTTCCCTTTTTTATGGTGTTTCTGCCAAGCAGAGGATCCAACACTGGCTCCACGGTTTCGCTGATATTTTCAATTAGCAGAGTGTCCCCATTTGAAACTGCCCTCTCTATTGTATCGAGGTAACTTGCATATAAAACAGAGAAGAAAGAATTAGCACATTTAAACAACTAATGATTGTTTTCATATAAAATGTTAACGCACATTTTTAGGTGCACTTATATGATTTACTATTAATCACAAAATTAATGCATTTGTGATGTTTAATGGTTTCCTACACAGTGTTATTCCCACTAGATGTAACAATTCCATTAACAACAAAGCAGCATATTCATGATTGATTTTCAGGACTGTACAGTACAGGGCAAGATTGTAATGGGTAGCAGATTTGATGTCATGAAAACAGCAAGATTGCAGGAAATAGATTTTGTGGCCTAAAAAATTAAGTTTTCTGAGGAAAACAATGAGGAAGGTCTTTTTGACCAACATCAGTCTGGATTAACACTCCTTTCCCTTCAAAAGCTTGTCACCCTGCATGACCTAGCACCATCTCTTTACAAATTCCCCTATGATCCACAGAACCTCAGCAAAAGAGAAAACAGCAGCACTTCTCCTCCTAAAACAGCATTCCTTTACTCCACTTTTATTTTTTGAGAGCTCGGTCCCTACCCTTTCTGTCCCAAACGGATTACTTTGAGATCACTTCCATATTTATTTTTGATCCATTTTATTCCCTGCAGCTGTGCATCCACAATCAGAGGCCAGCGCTCAGTGTTGCAGAGGATGGTGGCATTTTCAATGGACATACGGTCACTGGGCAGCCCCTCATTACTCCAGGCTGCAATATCAGCATCGTCAGTCAGCAGGCAAAGAGGATCCAGGCCTTCAGTAATTGGAATAGGAACCTGAAGCCCAGGGTGAATGTGAACATTAAACATGAATATGACTAATATGGCATCTGTTCAATTCAACAGTGATTGATTCATCATATCTCATTCAATACAATTATCCAAATTATTGTATACTTTAACCCCACTATATGTCAATATGTATTTGAAAAATGTTAAATGTAAAACACTCCATTTTTAGATTATGAAATCTAAAAATGATTACTTTTTCTACCCAAAGGTTATTTTCAGATAAATTTACACACATCGCTACCTTTAGCTCTTTCAAATAAGGCATCCAGTATTTATCCATTAAACCAGTCCTGTATCTTTTGGTAAAATAACCAACATATGAAACAAATGCAGAAATCAGCATCACATCTCCACTTAGAGTTTTCTCCTGTTCTTTAAAGAGAGCTACAGATTCCGACCAGCGAATCTTCTCCGATGCTAGTCCTCCCACCAATCTAGAAAGAGGAAAAGAACATCCTACTAGTTTAAACTTTTCTAAGAGTATTACATTTAAGGTTATTACATTTTATCCCTCTAATTGGTGTTAAAGTAAGCTTAATAGCTGGGTTACTTCAACTTAGCAATACTTTATGTTTTACTGTACGATTTTTAGATGCTGAAAGACGTTTGCTAATAGATGCATCCCACAGAATGGATGTTACATGAGTAAGGGTAACAGTAAAGAAAGAAAAATTGCAGAAAACAATTTACATATGTGGGAAAATAAGTCTGTTAAGGTTCAATGTGAAAAAATACATTTCAAACTTGTATAATGTATTTATGCACTCACAAAATGACCTATTGAAAAACAATTCGTTTTCCCATACCTATTAGCTAGAGAAATAGTTTGATTGGTAGCATCTGCCTCCTGCTGACACTTCAGTTTATCCTCTGTAGCTTTCTCAAACTCTGATGTTAGTTTGGCTAAGTTCGCATTTAATTGCTACAAAACATTCCAGTATTATAGTCACTGTCTTGATGTTTTCTATGTCTATCAGTAACATACCATATTACTAAACTATTTAATTTACTTAAATAGAGAATACAGAAAAAAATATTAAGAACTCAATGAATGTGTGTTTCCATGTAAAATGATTAACATGCAATTAACTTGAAATCCCAATACAACAAACAGGCTAAATTAACAGAATACAAATTAACCTTAGCACTAATATGCTTATAAATATCAGATACTCATGGCATAGTGTACTGTAACACATGAAACACAGTATTCACAAACTGTTTTCTAAATTCAGGTGATATTACAGCAATGAGGTTTTCCCCACATATTCTTGAAACTCTAATAACAAGCTTCTGAAATGCACAATGTCTATTACATCATTACTCTTGCCATTTTCAAACACTGCCAAACCCTTCACAGAAGCGTTGTACTTACTGTTATTTTGGCTTTAATGATGGAAAGTTTCTCCTGTGCAGCTGCTAGCTCTGCATTAGCCTGAGCCAATGCTTGTCTCTTGGGCTCTACATCACAATACACCTCATAAAACCTGACAATATTAATACACCAGGAGCACAGACCAGCAGCAGCTATGGATTTAGACCGAATAAATTCAGGCTCAAAACTGGAATCACTCTTGTAAGGCCTTGAGGGAAAGGAGACAGAACAACATTTTTCGATGTTTTAGAACACTGTGGTTAAATAAAGATTTCAAAAATAGATTTATATGCAGAAATAAATGATAATGCATAAAACGTTTAATAAAATTTTACAAAACAAGTTGTACAATCTTCCATAGTAAGGCCTTGTTTTCTAAACAAAATATTTATTTTACATGATTTCGTTATAATTTGTATTATGAGGAACGAAAAGGCGAGGAACAATGTACATTCAGTACTGTTATCCCTTCCCTAAAAATAACTGAATCAAATAAAATGTCTGCAGAGACAGCATTTCCAGGGACTTACTGAAAAGCTTTAATACATGCTTCATGGATGTGTTCCTTGTCATAGTTGACCAAACCATCAAGGAAAGAATCTACTTTGGCCATTGTATTCTTAGCTGCTTTCCAGCTTCTGTCCTTTGGGATTTTTCCTCCAGGAGCCAATAGGATCATTACAGCTGCTGTTACATTTACTACTGCTTCTGGAGGGGAACCGAAAGACTTGAGTTCCGTCAGGTTATTCTGAAGAGACAATCAAGTGGTAGGAACAAATTTAAAAATGTTATTTATGAAACATAATTATGACTCCATTCTTAGCACTGTTTCAACACACAGCAAAGCCTTGTTCCTATAACCGAAGTAACTATCTTGGAATTAAGATATAAAAAAGAAAAAAGAAAATAAATGTGAACACTTTCCTTGTACAAGGTTCCTTGTAGACCCTTTCTTGGTTCTCATGAAAATGGTAAAATAAGAGTTTACGCAAAGACCTACCTTGTTGAGTGTGTTAAGAGCTTCCTGTGCAGCTATGAGAGCTGGCTCTGCTTTGGCAAGATCTTCCTCACAAGACCTTTGTTTTTCTCCCACATTCTGAAAATGGAAATCTGTTATTAAATAAACTTGTTATAGAACAACAAAAGGAATTTCACATTCATGCATTAAACAAACATTAACAAAATTATATCCATTATAAATAACATATTGAAAATACAAATACCTTAGCAATGACCTGAACTTTTAACTCTTCATCATTGGCAATGCCTTTCTCTTTAGACACCTTTTCCGTCTCGATACCTACTACTTCAATGAGTTTATCTGCATCCTCATTTTTTTGTTTCAGTTCTACTTCTTGCACTGCTAACTTAGCTTTTAAATCATCCACCTACAGTACAAAAATGTAGGGTAACAGTTTAGATTACACCTGAATACTGAAGCACAAGACTGAAAAGGGTACAGAAATATATAAAAATGAAGGGAGTTAAAATTCAGTTCTGGAAAGATACCAAATCTGAAGAGCTCATTTAATGATACACAGGAATATAGCCTTAGGAAGTCACAGTTCTCTGCCTATGAAGATCATAATGTCAAACTACATTAGTTCACACTTCACATGTTTTACAAGCTTACTTTCTTTTATTCATTTATCCTCTCATACTCTTGTCATCTTAATTCAAACATAATATATAGGGTATTTAATGTGATATACCCGAAACAGTTGATACCTGAGTTCTGCCGTTTCTACAGTTTCCTACAAACCTGTGCAGATGTGCTCTGAAGTTTGGTCAGTCCATTCTCCAATCTTTCCATCTTTGAAAGCAACTCGCTCCTTTTAATTGACAGCAGATTCTGATACAATTTAATCTGCTCCAGAAAGGTTTTTGGAGTTGTATAGTTATAGCGCCTGTCTGATCTGAGGTATGCTTTAGACATTTCAATCACTGTTTTGTGTACAAAAGCCATAAACTGGCTCAGGGATGTTTTAACTTCAGGCTGGTATGGAAAAACAAGGAAAATATACCACATTATGTCAAGACATAAAGATAAAAAAATCTTTTGAAGCTTAGCCTGAAAAAACATGCAAAAATGTATGCAAAGTCAAGAAAGAGGAAATGCATTGTAGCTTCAAACTCATATTCTATATATTTTTTTACCACAATGCCTTCAGTTTCCTGGAGAAATCGGGCGCTAACTGACACCAGAGCTTCCTCAGGCCATTCGTGAAACCAGTCAATTGACGTGCAGTTCACCACAGCCGGGAACTTCCTTGCCCGAACTCGTAAAGTAGAGCCAACAGGGGAAAAACACAGAATGACCTCAAGGAAAAACACACAAAAAATATTGTAGCACTCTGGATTACAGAGAAACAAAGCTGCAACTGTACGTTCAAGCAAATAATACAGCATGATGAAGAATTGTCATAAAGAAGACTCACAAATTCAATATATAATGCTTTTCACCCCAAAGTTCTTTACACACAGCACATGACCCACTTCATCTACAAACTGAAGTACCGCACTGGCCTGGGTAATGAGCAGGATTGTTTCATTTACACAGGATACTGGAAATAACACCCTTGTCCTTAAAACAATGCTATGGGATCTTTAATATCCAAATAATAACAACATTGGTTCAAAGTTTTTTGTTTGAGACAGTATTTCCTATCACCATTGGCTCAGAAGCACTGGTTTCGGCTTGGAAGTTCTGGGCCACTTTAAAGAGTGCCACCTACTGGCAGAGCAACACCACATACAACACCAGGGCATGTTTTCTTCTAGGTCTCCCAACCCACTAATGAATAGACCCTTGTGATATGATAAGATACATTTATTTCACCAAAGAGAAATCTAATCTGTAACTTTAAAATTTAATTGTATTTCTGAAGCGTGCTGTAATACCTTCAGCTGTTTCCTGACTCTATCAATAAAAAATTTCCAGCAGTTTTCTCTGGTATCTTGTAATCCAATGCCTTTCACTTCATTTCGCATTGAGCCAATAATATTCTCCATTTCATCATCCTGAAATAGGCCTGGGATCTCCCCGGATGCAAGCAGATCATTAATGAGAACCAGAAACTGCTCCTCTGCCACCTGCGAGTCTGTCATCAGGAAAACTGTTCCAATGTTCTTCACTCCTGCTTTGATATACTGGGCAGCAAGGTCCACCTAGGTTCACAATTAACATTCATCAATATAAGTTTCAATATCACAGAATCAAATTTAGCAGCTCCTGAGAATGACCCACTATAGTAACGTTCGTAAAGAAAAAGAAATGGCAAGCTAATTTCAACTATAAATCCAGCACATTACCAACAATATGTTCTTTTTATTTGAAGCTTCCAATGTAACTGAATGAGGTTAAAAGAGGAGCTATTTTTAAAAAGGTGAATGATGATCACTTCAATTGCAAATGAAAAACGCTGAAATTCTACAAACTTCTAAGACATGTGTAGCTAACACATCGATTTTGATTGTGATTTTTTTCAGTAGTTCAATGTCATGGAAAGAATCTCAATAGTTGCCTTCAAGTCTGGGATTGCATATCCTTTCCTCAGTGATATCTGAAACACCTCTAAATTACTGATACTGGCAGCTAGTCGAGATAAACTCTGCTTTCCACTGCCTCCCACTCCAACTAGCAGTGCATTTCCACGTGGCAATTCCAAAATTCGGTTTATTCTGCAGACGTGAGACATTGCATCTTCAAACAGAACCTGAAACAAAAGCAAAGACATGGGCAAAGTATTAAAACAATACACCACGTTAAGCTCATAAGCTCATGTTTGGAGGCTTTTAAGAACATAAAGATACACTTGCCAAGTTCATAACTGCATTCACTTCATTGTAGCTGTCTAAGGCTTCCACCAACAGTTTGTTTAAAGTTGGCCAGTCACCTATAGGTAAATATTTAGGTTCCCCAACTCCTTGTGCAAAATGACAAAAAAGGACGGGCTTTGCAAACAGTACATTTTCATCCATATCCTGCATCAGAAAGAAACAGAAGAAATATATACAGTAGAGAGAGAGAATAAAACAGAAACAACTACAAGTTACATACTGTGCAGTGCCCGTTCATAAATTGATTTGTGAGAAACAACAAGTGCCATATTCATTTTTGCACATTTGTAATTGATTAAAAATGCAGTTTATTATAGCACAAAATAAGTGTAAATATTGCTCATATAAAAGACAACCCTTTATCAAATTCATAACTAAGTGAGTTAAGTCAAGGGTTTAAATATTTTTAAAAGCATACAATCATTTCACGGTATTTAAAGATAACATTTTACAATTTGCTGCTAAAGCAAGGATGCCAAAATCCAGTCCTGAAGTGTCACTCTTTCAGCAAGTTTTCGCTTCAGCTCAGCCCAGTCAAATTAATTATTGGCTTAATTGTTGCAGTCTGACAACTCCTCCCAGCAGTTAATGTGCTACTGATATTTGAAACACTTATAAAAGCATCTCCAGGACCAGAGCTTGGCACCACTTTGCTAAAGACAACGTTATAGACACCAAGCAGTTTCTTTTCTCAGGGGTAACTGAATGTAAATCGTCATGCAAGCAATTCTTACCTCAAAGCACTTCTTACAGATTTCTGCCTGAATCTTTGTGAACTGTGCTATGTCTTTCTCGTCAACTAGTTTGTCACCATAAACTCTGTCAGTTTCATGTAACCACAATCTAACATGTTCAGGGGGGGCTTTCACACAATCTACTGTTGAAAACAGCAAACCCTGTGCGAAAACAGAAATTCATGATTTCAGAATCAGAGTAATGATAAAATTTAAAGTACATGTAGTATCAAAGTTATCATCATGAAAATAAGATTTTGTAGAAAACAATAACATGGATAAATTCATCATCCTGATTAACATTTGTCATCAACAGGAGGTATACGCATCTGTGGTGAATGTGGGAAGCAATAACACCTATTAATCTTTGACAAATTCTTTGCACCACGCTGCAAATGCAGTCTTGTGTCTTATTTATGAGATTCTGTTCCATTTCTCTCATAATGCCTGGACAATCACGTGCCTGTTCTCTGGTCTCTATGCTCTATCTGCTCATCCCACAGATGTTTAACAGGGCATTGAAACATGTGGCATGTTAGGCATCCAAAAATAACCGTCAGATTTTCAGCTTACAAAAAAGCCATTGTTAAATGCAGCATGAGGATATGTGTTGTCCTACTGGAATGAAGTCATGTCAGGATGAGCCAGCAGGAAGCAGGAAAGAGAGGTACTAGGACTTAATCAACTTAGCACCACGCAGACACTGGACCCTCCCCATCAATAAATCTGTTGTGTACAATAAGTCGAATATTCTTCTGCACATGAGCACCATCTCCATCAGGGTGTACATTGATACAAAAACATGATTCATTGCTAAAGAGGACTTAGATCCAGTCCTGGCAAGTCCAGTGTAAATATTCTTCAAAATCTCTTAACCACACCTTACAAAGGTGCAGTGTTTTTTACACGACAACAATAAAAAATAACATTTATATACATAGAGAATTCTAACTGAAACAACTTGATACATTCTCCTATGTTATATACTCTTGGAAAAGTACTGCATAAGTTATAGCTCATGAACTTAGGCTTTCTCTAAAACCATGCCTGGACATTGTTTAGAATTAAACTGGATAGTAGAGTGCAACTACAGTATCTAGCTCACTGAGGAAGCCATCATCCTCAGCATGAAGCCAGCTGTGCAAGCAAATACTCTTGCATCAGGATCTAGGTTTTATTTTCCTACTACTTCTAGTAAGAGAAGTAACACAGCAATGCATTGCTGTTATTGTGAAGAATCTGTGACAGACTACCTTCTGGGTCTGGATCAGCAATACTTGAAAAAATAAGTGTACCTTCATTCTCTAACTGTAAAACTGTATGTAATTTTTTGTTTTTTTAAAGACAATAGCTTTTTCATTTTTACATAATACTTAATGTTTTGTGAACACAAATCTATTTTATAGAACTGAAAGTATGCAACTTGCCTGAAATATATTTGAAAGGTCTCTCAGATTAAATACATAATGAAACTTTATAGCAGTTGGCAGGAAGGAAGTAGAAATCTTCTGATGAAAAGCTATTAGAGACAAAGGGACAGTTTATATTTCAGTAACAAGGTTTCTAACTTGTGAGCACATATACCAAGATGCATTAAAAACATAAATGAGTACTGGAATCAATATCATTTGTTGCATTTCAGTGCTTATCAGTTATTCCCTTGGTTACTATTAACCTAATTTGCAAACATAAAAGAGGTAAACAAACTTTATTACTCTTAAGTATTACTAATCAGCTTATATGCACTTATATTAACAGTATTTAATCATTTAACCTCAAAAACTAATAAAATGGTTGTCATCAGAAGTAATCCATCATGGAATTTTGCATACCAAGAGCACCTGAGACCAGTGTTGTTGAGAATTTTTTAAGTGCTGGTGGAAAGTTGTTCATTTCTAAATGCTGAGAGAGAATGCTGTTATAGATGCTATGCAATGAATCCTGTCCAGGAAAGCTCACAGCAAATACACAGAAGTGTCTCTAGTGAAATGAAAAAAAAAGTCAATTTTTCAGTCTCCTCAGAGAATGACATAGTCTGAAGTATGAAAAACCTCAAACAAGCAAAATATTAAATTATTTGCACAGACATTTACAATCCCAGTAGTATTTCTCTTAGATACAGCAGTCTCCAAAGTTATTGTCTTGGAAAGAAATGTTACTTTACAATCCAGTATACAGTGCTGCCTGTCCATATGTATATCCTTCATCTTTCATACATCTTAAATTATCTTAAAATTACCTTAAAAACCTTTTATCTGGACATCAATATTTAATTATGATAAGATGAATAATGGACACACAAAAACATATAGTATAGTTTTATTATTTACTAAATAACAGAGGATCAAAGATTCCTGTGTGCAAAAGTAAGTAAAGCGGTTGTGAAATCCTTTAGCAGTTATGACAGCAACCAAATGTTTTCTGTATTATTATTATAGTTACTAAGATAGCAACAGTAATAATAAATATGATTTTTGCCCATTCTTCCTTACAAAACTGCTTCAACTTCTCCAGATTTGTGGCATATCTGGCATGAAGAGCCAATAAAAACTAGACTTATTATTTTCAATTTTGTACATATAAATAGAACATCTATCAGAAACAGTTTCAAATACATGATGATAATTATTTTTCATATCTTTAGGATTTGGGAAACCTTCTTTTGGCTTTCTATTTGAGATATACAGTACAGGTAATTAAGACCACATCATAAAAGAACATCTGATACACACAATGTGCTTACCTGGAGTCTAGGATCGATAGTGAAACTACCAGAAGTAGGATTCATACAGGCTACATACTGGCAGTTGTGAATGTCCTTCAGTGTGAGTTTTTGTCGGTCATACCTGGAAAGCAATATTTAAATACTTTAAATTCACTTAAAGTATTTTGGATTATTAGAGATACAGCAGAAATGAAGAAAAAGATGAAGTATGTATGAGTTTGAACTGTATTTAATCTGTACTTGATTTACCAGTGCCCATGGTCCATGTGCTGGCGGATGAGTGTGTGAGGAGCAACAGTCCCATATTTGTCCACTTCAGGCATGTTCATATCATCAATGAAATAGATCAGATTTTTTCTTCCTGGAGGACCATAGTTTCTACCTGCTTTCTTCTCAAGTGGTTTCTCAAGAATTGCTTTAAACAATGACAATTTGCCAAATTAAAATGTTAAAGGTTAATTGTTTCAATGATGGATAGTACACTTTAAAATCTTTTGCTCTTCTTACCCTGTAACATGGCAGATGTGGTATAGAAATTAAAAGGGACAGACTGCACCACATAGTTATCTGTGTTAAGACCCCTCAGCTTCTCTCCCATCAGCACTGACTTTCCACTTCCTGCATTTCCCACCAACATCACAGGTCGCTTTTTCTCCATCATCATGTCCATGAAGTACCTGATGCGAATGGTTTCTGAGGTGTGCACAAGAGAGGCCTGCAAACCGGCAGAGTGCAATATTATTCAAAATGGGTTTTGTTAGTGATCCTTTATCTTTATAGACATAGTTCTGACTTAAATTGCTCTACTTCTGAGAATGTCATCAGTTACACCAACACAATTTAATAAAGATTAAGTTAAATAAAAAATATATATGTATACTTCATACCAAATAATTTGGTCCAATTATTAAAAAGAATTAAAAAAAATTTAAAAACTACCAAATCTTGTTAACTGTGATTGGTCATTCATACTGTCCTACACATATCACCCTGTTAATTATTTAATTAAATTAATATGAGATTTTAAATTTAAATGACATTCACACAAATTCCTTAATTTCACTTTGACCACTAAAAAGAAGAAAAAAAACAATGTTTTGTTTGTGGAGCCTTCTTCAGGTGTGTGTGGGAATGAGGGAAAGAGCAGGAATATAGACAAAGGGGTGGATAAGGAGGACATAAGAAAAAGAATGTGAGAATGGGAATGGGAGGTGAGAAAGGGATGTAAAGAGCTGGAAATCTGAGAGACAAACTCCAGGGAAACTTGAAGAAAGGGAAGTAGTATCTTTCTGAAGTAATATCTACTGAATCTCTGTTAAAGGATGCAGATTGAAATGTCAGTTTAATAATGATCAGGAAAGGTAAAACAAGGACATATTAGCTAAGAGAAATCTCTCTTTTGCCTTTCTGCAAGAGATGCAATAAGCCAATCAGCTCACATTTTGTCACTACACTTCAATCTGACCTAACCAGTTTTAGGAACATTTCATCCATCATTTAGTTATTTTGTTATGAGTGTATGCCACCTGCTATTCCATATGTTTGCCTTAGGGTCAAAAGATAAAGAAAAGAGAATATGTTTTTTAAGAATAAAATGAAACAAATTAACAAAGAGAAACTAGCTGTACTGTACCTGCAAAGGCAAGTCAGGATCCAGCTGAAATACAGGAACTTTTTCTGTCCAAGGCATGAACTTCTTTGACTCAGAATCAATATAGTAGTCAAACACTGTTCCCTGAGATGGAAACTTTATAGTTTTAAATTCATTCACCCACCACTTGCTTAATTCCACTCGATAGTCAATCAACTGCAAATTAAAATAAAACAATTGTGATGAAGAATGGTTTGCTGTGCCTTTAAAATACTAAAACAACATCAAAATCATAAGAACGAAAAATGAGTCCAGTCTTGGTCAATCTGGTACAGCATTATTCAATTATATTCTTGCAAAAAAGTACAATTACTTTCATTATGTAGTAACATGTTGAAGATCTAAATTATTTTACTTCAGCAAAATAATATAACAAGTGTGAAACCACTATGAGTCACAAATATATATTTGACCTGTTGTATGTAACAAATTTTGGCATTACATGTATTAAATAACATAATAAATGTTGTTATAAAATAACACTGAAACACAAGAGATCAAACCTGGTCCTGAAACATTGCACCTCCAAAAGCCCAAATGCAGGCAAATACAAAGTAGAGCTCGTAAAGCTCTTTACTGGAGTCAGGTGGAGCATTGTCTGGTATCAGAAGACACTCCATGAAGTATAGCACAGTCTGAACCATAGTGATCTCGGGAACTGGGGTTATCTTCTTAAACCCAAATTTGAGTTTTTCTAGGCAGGCAGGCAAATACTTGTCAAACAAAATCATTAAGTTTGCCTTCTCAGATTGGACCTCCCGCTTCTCAATCCAGCTAGTTACAACTCTGAGGAAGAAGACAGAATAATGCTGTGTTATGTATTAAAGACCGTGTAATTTCAAAGCTTCCTAGAATTACATGCATTAGGCAAAATACACACGGCAGTGTGAGAAAATGTATGGCTAACTGATTACCAAGTCAAGCTGAACTAAAGTGAAGACACTCACGGGTTCCAGCCCAGGTCTGCGGGGTTGATGTAGAGAATTCCCGCTCTGGACACTGTGGCTGGGGTGGCTGTTCTCAGATGGCTGATCTCAAACACAAGACGCATGGTAGGGTTCAGGGGGATTCGCTCATTGCTAGCTAAAGTCAAAACCTGACCAACAGAAACAATTAGATCTTAAATGATATGTTGGCTAAATTAAGAGTAAAAAAGAACATTAGTTTATAAATTGACAAGCATTACTTATTCCTTATTTGCAAACCTTATTGTCATCCATAACCGTATTAAGAGATTCAATCCACATTGGGTCTATATCACCATCCAGGACTATCCATTTTGGTCCACTGTGAGTAATATTGGCCAAGTCCCTCATTATGCAGGAAAAAAGACCTAGACAAAGATAGGTTTTTTTTGTCTTTCTACATTTGTATGTTTGCGTGAAACTAAGGTTTACAAAAAATTAATTATACCATCCTTCCATTCTCTAGTGGCAGGGTTGATAATTCCAAACAGCTCATCACAGGTAACAGCTTTTGGATCCAGGTCTACAGCTACAGGTCTTCTCTTCATGTTTTGATAGGTCTTGTTTAGGGATTTAAGCACCTTTTAGAACAAAATATTCAATTCAGTACTAGAACCTAATTTGTTAAGTCAAGAATGGTTACAAACAAGAGGAGGCCATATGACCATCGAGCCCACCTTGGGGCAATAGCCAGCACTTGAAGGAACTGCTGAGAAAATAATTCAGTTTTACATTATTGATAAAAATATTTCTGTGAATACAGAACATTGGTGAATCAAATGATAAATGAAAAGTTTGTTAATGACTTGATATTGCATTAAAAATCACCACTGGTAGTGTAATGAGAACAATGGCCCAGGAGAAAGATATAGCATGCAGTATGCTGTTTTCTATTATTTCTGCAGGTATACCTGAGATTTGCCCGTGCCAGCATTCCCAATGATAAAAACTGAATGCCTCACTGCAAGCAGCTCTTCCAACTGAACCACTTTCAGAACAAAGCTGTCCTCTGCCTGTAGCTTCATGTCTAACACAGACTGCTTCACAACCTTGGGAAACAGACAAGATATTAATTCTTCCCTACCTTTATTTCTATTGAAGAACAATAGACTTAAATAAGGTCTAGACTTGATTAGTATAATTGTATAATTATGTATAAGTATAATTGATTTTAACACAACCACAACTCAAAATTATTTTTGGGAATCTTCTACTAAACTAAACTACAGTAGTAATTAATCTACTAAGTAATACTAATGCTCCACTTTTCAGTGTTACACTCAACTACACAGCATAATTTTCCTAATGTCTTCTCACTTTTTCAAATTCGAAGTCTCTCTTTCTTGGCACATCCAGTGCTGGGAAGAGATCTCCAATCAACCCCATGAAGACTGGCATGTCATCCGTCACAATCTTTGGTATATTGAAATCTCTCAAGGCCCTCATTAGTACTTGGTCTTCTGGTCGACCTGGATCCCCTCTCTTTAAAGATCCTGCTACTACAAGCACAGATTTGATGGCACGCAACCCCCAGTCATAGTGATCCTGAGAATAATAGCAAAGGTATACAGATTTATATTAAAAAGTCACATCTCAGTTCAGCAATATGGAATAGTTTGATACAATCCTTTTTAGAATTAAAATGAAGAAAAAAACATACCTGTTTTGAAAGAAGTTCTTTGCACAGAGTGTACAAGGTAATAAATTTTCTAGCCAGTATTCTAGCATCAATAAAACCTTCTGCTACCAACATAATTTCACAAATTAGCTCAAAGTCAGGGACCACCATTGCACAGGGTCTGGGAAGAAAAAGAAATTACCCATATCTAAGGTACTAGTCCTATAAATAAATGAAAAGACATCTTAAAAAGAGAATAAAAAGGAATTTTGAAGTACCTAAACAGTGCTTTTAAATTCTCAGGCAGCTCAGCTCGCCCTGCATATCCTGGGTTCATTGTTATGAAAACTCCAACAGTGGGTATTAGGTTAATGATTTCCCCCAGAAAATTAAAAGTTGTCCTCTTGTATCGAATGCCATCCTGGACACACTTTACCTAAGGACAAAAGAAAATTGAGTTTTATCAAGCAAATAAACTCTAGTGTTTTCACAAAGGAAAATCAGATTGACAATTGCTTTCATGCTTTCCATATTAACAGAACAAAAGCATGGCTTAATGTTATTACCTGAACTGCAATAACAGACAGTACTTCCACACATATTCTGTTGAACTCATCAAAACAGCCCCATGCTCCAGTTTGTGCTAATCCTTTGTAAATATCACCACAGGACTAAATGAAAGAAAATTAAAGGTAAAATTAAGAAAAATTCAATATTAAAGCATCATATCTATAACATAATCCATAGTACAAAATGTACAGTATTAGTAGAATTCACATAATAATCATTTTCTTTTACAATAACATTAGAGTGTATGTGCATTTCCTTTCTTAGAACTGGAAAAAACAAACAGAGTTTAACGACAGGAAATTGATTCCAGTTGTCAGATCACGTATACGCATACCTTAGCTTTGTGCAACAACCTGAAACTACCATGAAGGTACCATAAATAATATTATTGCTAAACATATGCCATTCTAATCTAATATTTGCACACGAATTTCAAATATTTCACAAGGATGTAAACACCCCATTTAAAAAATGCATCTCAATAAGTATATTGCAACCTATACTTAATAAGATCTTTTATGATTTTCAGCATTGGTAAGCAGGCACGTTTGGACAACAATATTATGAAAATTAAGATAAGGTATTTTTTAAAACTGCTCATTTTCACCTTGTAGTCCATTTGCTCAGAACAGTTGAATACATATACCATAATCCCCAAAGCTCTTCCCAGATCCTTTGTGGTCTCAGTTTTCCCAGTCCCTGCAGGGCCTGCTGGTGCTCCGCCCATGATCAGATGGAGAGACTGAGTGAGGGTAATATAGCACCTACAAGAAAACAGATGTAAGCGGTTACCCAGCAAAAATCTTCTTAACTTTTATGTATTCATGATTACGTCATATCCTAAACATAAAAAGTTATGAATGTTTTTCTTTTTTATCCCATCTATTCAACGAATGTACATCACAATTCCACAATGGAGTAAAAAGGAACTTCTGTAAACTGAGATATTCGGATATATTATTAGGATATTTGATTGATAAATGTGATATTTATATAGAATGTAAAATATCACTGCAGGTAATATAATGAAAATGATATCTTAGTTAAATGCATTAATTATTTAATTGAACATGAGGAATATTTGATTTTTTAAGACAGCAAGTACAATGCAATGTTCCTGAATTCTTATGGTAAAGTGAAGTCTGGAGGAACCTGTCTGTTAGGGGAGTAATGACAAGGCGAGGGGTGTTCCCCAGATACTCGTACGAGTATCTGAACTGGGCGTCACAGATGTTAGCAAAGCAATGCTTCTTCTCATCATCCCAGCGGTGCCTCAGCTGGGACTGCCAGGTAAATGCCTGAGCGCTTTCAACCTACAAAACATGGCATACGCACCTGTGAACAACCTGCTCCACCTTAATAACAGCCACAAGCACAAATCACAAGCTATGATAAACAGGGAGCTGCAGAAGTGTTTCCAATATTTTTATGTTCAAAGCCTATAGCTCCAAAATGCAATAGGAATCTTTCTAATGTTATAAGACCATTTCTGATTTAAAAAGACAATAACATCCTGCGACTGTGTTGACCTTAGAGAGAGGCAGGATTCTGTGCCATACCCCAAGAGTACCAATATATTTTTACATAATAAGAATATTCATAGAACACATGGACCCGTGAATCTATAAAATATTTCTTATTCCAAAACTTCTCAAAACTTTCTGCCTGAAGGTAAAAAACACACCTTGCCAGAAACAAGTTTTCCCACAACATCGCGAGCATGTACATCTATCGTACAAATAGTCATGATCTTCTGTCTGTCGCCTTTTGAGAGGTTCCCAATGAGCAGAGTTATCAGGGTGTTTAGCTGGGTGACCTACAGTTAGATAATATCAGTAACAGTCATTTTTCAGAAAGAATACAGCAACATAATCTTTTTCTTGCTTAAAGGTAATAGTTTTAAATTTGAGGTTTGCCTAGTTCTAAAATTCTAAAACCTCTGAAACATTTAAATAGTAAACCACATTTAAATACAAACCAAACCACAGATATACCAATGCATTTTATATGAAAGAAAAAAATCCATCAAGTATAACCACACCTGCTTTTTAAAGTAGTCTTTAATGGCATTTTCATAACCCTCCTCAAGCCTGGAAAATGCAATTCCAACTTCAGTTGCCCACCAAACCTGTGTGGTGCACAATGCAACCTGAAATGTGGGAAATTAGCATAGGATATACTCATTTGTCTGCAGATACACTGTAACCTCTTATACTACAATACACATTTAATACCATTATTTGTATAATGATAAACAAAATCTAACATTTAATATTACTGTATTCTGCAAGACATATTTTAACTAAATAAACACAAGACTTCCATGGAAATGTTATTTAGCTTATTGAAGGCTTTAGTTTGTGCTTTCAGTCAACACCATAGAAAATGACAGAAAAACAGCTAAATTATACTCTTCAACCTGGCCATATTAGTCGCATATGAAACATGAAATATGCCCTCAAACTTGTAGAATTTTCTCATGAGCAATAACCAGATACAGTACTGTACTGTATATTCTCTTATAACTGGCATTTTCTTCATCATTAAGACAACATTTCTTAACTCAAGCCCACTTTTCCCCAAGTGCTTTTCAGATATAAAATAATTCATGAACTTCACTCATATTTAAGAGAATTACAACAGAAGACCACAATAAAAGATGGGAACCATATGAAACCAATGTTGATCATTGTTAAAACAGAAACAGACCTGTGCAGGATAGTCGAACAGCCACTGTTCTCTTGGCTTTTCCTCATAAGTCAGTACAGCCTCCCCTAATTCACTGCGCAGTGTAGCACACATTCTTTCTAGCACCCGAGTTAGCCAAGCTTCAACCTTCAACAGTGAGAACACTTATAAAGAGCTCTGGAGATACTTAGCATCTCTAATTTGATGTCCAACATGGCTGCTGATGAAATTCAGTAAATTCAAATCATCTACTGTATATAAATCTGTAAATCTGGTGTGAAAGATACACCGAACTGTTAAAAAACTGCAGTTTATATTGTTTTATGTCATTTTATGTTAATCATGGCAACGTGGCATATTGCTGCCTTCTGATTACAGACTACAGATTATTGATTATGTTTCTAGTGCAAAGTGTTCCTACACTAGGATTCTAGTACTGTCTGCACATGTGACAAGGTGACATAATGTGCGGCGTTATGGAGATGTTTTGGAGTACATGATCATCAAACTATAAGATCAGAAATGCAGTTTAGTAGTTTATGATTGATTTTTCTTTCCCCTTAAATTAAATTAACTAAGAAAACACAGTCTTGTAGGTTAATGACATTCCAGCAAACATACCAGCAAACCTCATACTGAAATATATTGAACTGAATATGGGTTTAGGGTTTCTAGAAGCAATTAAATCGGTGATATACTTGCCTGTCCAGAGCAATCACATTCCATATCAAATTTAACATATTCATTCTCTTTGCTGTACATTCCTAGTCCCACTTTTATGGGTATCTTATTCTCATCAAGCTGAAATTCCAGTTTGGACATGCTATCAAACAGTTTAGATAAATGCTTGCTGACCTGTGAACATAGTGGTTAAGGTTTCATCAATAAGTTTATTTCAGCAGATTTAATTAACATGATTTTATTAAATATGCTGCAGTGTATTGTCTGAAATTTGTTTATGAAAAATACAAAGGCGTTAGGACAGCTATAAGCTGCAGAGCAAAACAATTTACTTCTAGGATAGAAATTTGAGCACAGTGATTAAAATGAAGATATCAATTTAATGTTTCCTTAGAAATGCAAACAGTATGCTAAACAAGTGTATCAGTAACAAATGATATGTTCATTGCATCTGAACATTTCAGCACGGTCTTAGTAATAACTAGAACTGACAGCCTTGCATCTGTGGGAATACTGCTGAGCATCAAATCGAAAGAAATTTAATCCTGCAATAACCAGCTTTCTTATAAACTGGACTGTCAAGGTCAGATATGGATGATGAGTATGAGGTAAATATGTAACGTATATGTGCCTCAAAGATTAATGCCTAAAAAAAAAGAGTATTTTAAAAAGCACCTCCACAGGATTGTTTCCATTAGATAAAATATCCAGCAGATCTGCAGAAGATACAAAGTAGAATCTGGGGAAGGCAAGTCTCTTGGTTTCTAAATACTCAGCCAAAGCCTTCTCACACATAGACAAGCTGTTGGATATTAGAAGCTTTAGTTATTTTGCAAATACCAACAAAAACTTTCAAAAGATACACTGTACAGTATTTGCTATTCTACATTAGGTCAAGTACAATACCTACCACCATTTAAAGAGTATTTTATAATTTTCACAATACCAGAAATATTATGGATTTTTTTGCATCTACAGAAACACTAAATGTAAATATTAAAATTTCACATACAAAATATATTGCATTATCATACTACAGTACTGTATATTAACGTTAACTGAAGACAATAGATAATTTCTCAAGTAGGTCCTAAAAAGATAACCAAATGAAAGAGATACTGTATATCTAACAACAGCTCCAAATTAAGTATTTAGGTTTCTTCTGACTGACCGAAATGCATTTTCATAATTTAAAAGTTACCTTTTCTCTAGATGCTCCAGCTTATTCAAAAGGCCGGCTTTGTTAGTAGCTTGAATTACGTTTGGTGTCTTAACAGCATCAGCCATTATCTCCTAGAAATAGAAATAAGGCGATTACAGTTAAGAGGTCAAGATAAAAAAAAGCATGTAAATGCACTAACAAAATACGGAGACTCACTTTGAAAAGAGTGTCAATCTCATCAAATCGTTTGGAGTCTTCTGGCAGCTGTGACCGAATGTCCTCTGACCCAATGAAAATGCTCTCCAGGTGTGTCCAGGTCCTTTGCACCTGGAACCAGATGGAAATGACAGCATCTGCAGTGGACAGCTTCTGCTGCCAGTCAGACACCTCCTGCAAGAAGTGAGCAATGTACTTGGAGGTCATCATTGTCTGCAGCTGCACTTGGTTATCCTCCAGGGTTTCTACCAGCTCTTCACTGACTTTCAGCAACATAGTTCCAGTTCTTCCATGGGCTTCATGTTCAAACTGCATGGTGCTCCATGTGCTATTAAGCTCTTTCAATGTCTAAAAAATAAGTAAAAAAATATATGTATACATACATTTTGAGAATATAAATGTCTTATTAAAGATATTAAATACACATTAGGAGAAATATCAATATTAATGATGATACATGTAAATAAAAAGCATCACTAAAAACTTGCATAAGTTTAATTTACTGAAATAAAACAAATATGGGATGCTAGTAACATTTTTTATCCCGTATAGATCATACTACAGTACCTTCTCCATTCCTGACTCCTTCACAGCTTTATCTACAATATTGCGTACTTCGTCCTCAAAATTGTGTAGGTTAAGTTTCAGCAAATCTTCAAATGTTGTCTTATCTGACATCACAAATTTAACCTGCAAAATCAAAGTGCATATTCTACTTGTACACAGAGCGCAGAGCTTTCAGGAAGTGTTGTTTGGACTAACTACATCCAGTGGTTATTATTTGAGGACTATCAAGAAGAAAGAATAGCAGAACAAAGTCCTAAAACAGGAAATGCTTTTGGAGAAAATTGTTCCTGTTCGTAGCAGCAGTAACCAAAGAAGCATTATGGGTCAAATGGACCTCTTTCTTTGGTAATCCTTTGTGCATTCTCATATTCATACATACATTTAAATGTACATTAAAGGCATAAGTGAATGTTTCTTAAAGGCCTGTACCTTGGTCGCCATCATCAGCTGAAGCCAGTGTCTGTCTCTAATGGCAGGGTTCTGAAGGTCTCCCACCGCTCTGAGAGATGTCATCATGTTTTTCACCATGCTGTCCAACCCCAGGAAAGCATCCCAGGCTCTCATTTCCTTATCCAGTCCCTTGATATCTTTGGCATACTTCTTTGTGTCCATGTCCATTTCATCTACATTGATGTCCTTCCATAGAGTGGTTTTCCAGTCATCCATGTTGCCTCTCACCTACATGTAAAAATAGAGGCCATATCCCACCTCAAAAAGGTTCATACGATTTTGGACTTCAGCTACTTTTTTTGCACTACAGTAGAAAAGGTAATTAGGAAAAATGATTTAGCATTTTGATTATTTGATTTATTTGAATAAACAGCTCACCAAATGGATCATATCCCAAAGCTCTTTCAGTAATATCACTTCCTTTCTGCACGCCTTCAGCTGCTTATAATCGGGTACATTCACTTCAAATAAACTAGCCGATTTTGAGAGAGATACCATTTCTTTCTCTAATGAAGAGATATGTCTGTGTATCTGATGAATTAAAAAGAAGCAGTTGAAATGTTAAGCCAGTAAAACAGTTTTTTGTCAGGATGATGGCCATAAAAAATAAATGCAATATTACACTATGTGCTTGATGAAAAATACATTTTCTACAGAAAACAGAATCTGGCCCATTAAATAATTACCTCATTCAAAGCTTCATGTGGCCTTTCAAAAGAAAAGCAAAAGAAGCCCTCTTGACGGAACTTCTCTCTGAATTCATGCTGTTTGAGCTATAAACAAACATTAAAGTAACATCATTATTAGAGAGAAAAAATCTTAGCACTCACCGTGTGCATTAAAATAATGTAGAACTTGTGAAGTTTGACGTACTGTACATAGTTTTGTTTTATAGTGTATTGATTTTAAGAATCTATTATTACCAAACTTTCTGAAGCCTATTAGTACTCTTCAACAGTACCTCAAACTGCTGACATTTTCTTCGAATGATAGTAACTTCATTGGCTTGCAAAGGTGCAACATTCTGTTTCACTTGAAGAACTGTCTTTTTAATATTGTTCCAATGTTCAGGAAGATCCTAAGGAGAAATGAATGTTTATAAAATACACTGTACCTCAATATCTATCACTTTCAACAGCCATTTTTTTCTTGTCCTAATGTTTTCCTTTAACGCTACTGAACATATTATAAACTAATATGTTAATGGTACAACAATTCAATTTACAGCAGCGGCTGGTTTCTTCATATTAAATGAAATAACCAATGCACAGTAAAGAAGGCAGCCAGTAAGATCACAAAGCACCCAAGGGCACTGCAGATGCAGCTTTACAATAAGAATTCTCATAGATTTTAATAAACCATGTTGAATCTAATGTTGTGCAGATATTCATGCAGACGTGAAAGGTCAAACCATGTTTGACTGTTGTTGGAACAATCCAAAAGTTTGAAAAACAAATCTGCAATTCAAGAGACAAACTGACATGAAGCTGTGTGTGCACTTCATCTGGCAGCTCCACCCCGTAGTTCTTCAGGAATTCGATGGTTTCCTTCAGCGGCTCAAACATGCCGTCTGTAGCCGCCTGCCTGTCCTTCACTCTCATCAGATGACCCATCACCTCCACCAGCCCATGGTAATCCCCGTCTTCCACTGGTTTAGTAAGGCCAGCCCTTGCCTCTTTAATGAAAGACTCAAGGTCACTCAGACTGCAAAAAGAAAAGACAGAATAAGAGTAGCAAATTTAGATGTGACGCAGTTATTTATTTCTGTCTCTTTATTTGAATTTATACAAAACTACAGACGTTAGATAAGCTTGAGGAAGTGATTACGAAAAAGACCCCCAATATAACTGATAACATCAATGTAACTGATAACATTTTTGTCTAGACAAATTTGGGAAGCAATAAAAAGGTAAATAGTATTAGGAGAGAACATTAAAAATACAGATTTTAAATGAGGAGACTGTGTTTAAATTGTATAATTCACTATTAAGACTTGATTTAGAATACTATGTACAGTTTGAGAAATACTATACTCTTGCTCTGACATCAGTCCAGAGAAAAGTGATGAGATGCATTCTGAAGCATAAAGATATCCTACACTATCAGGCTAAGGGAATACTGTAAGCTTTGAATATAGTCTACAAAGGGATTTTCAATATTCAAAATATCCAAGGCCATTGAAGAAGCAAGCCTAACAGGCTCCTTCAGGAACAACAGTGAATAAACGAGCCAGAAAACACAAGTGGAAACTGCCAGACACCAGGTGTCCTGTCTGACCTGTGGCACTGCCCTGTGCCCTCTGCCTTTATGCCACAATCCTCACCAGGAATAAGCAATTTTGTATGGAGGGATTCATGTAGATGATTTAGCCACATTAGAATATACAAATATTTAGGGCTGTTTCAGATTACAAACTCCAGGACTCAAAAACCCCATACTAACTGTACCTGTTAGTGACCCGTTTAATTAAGTATTGTTTAAACATGAGGCTCCATCGTTTGATGGTGTTCAAAAGAGCTTGTTTAAAAGGTCTGCAGTCAATCCGCAGCCAGCCATCCAACACCTTGGAATTTTCAAGTCTGGATATTTCACCACAGAGGTTTTCATAGAAGTCAATCTGCAGGCAAAGATGTAATAATAATTAAACTATTATACGAAGACATGAAACTCAACAGCATGTGAATATGTAAACAATGTTCTAGGTTAACATGATTTAATTGTTGTGATTTTCAGACACTTGGTACAAAGATGTACTGTACAATTTACCAATGATTGTTTTTACAAAATAGCTTATGAAAAAACAAACTGAAAGGTATTAAGTAAAGCAGCAATCCTGTACCTGTATTTTGTACTCTACGAGAGTAGGAGGATTTTTTGGCACATTCTCCTCTCCATGTGCTTCTATTTCTTCAGGCGTAAGCACATGGCCATACAGAAGGAACTGTTCCATGAACTCATCGCGGTCATCCTCCCACAGGTAGGAGTATTTATCAAGCAATTCTTGGTAATCCTGGGCCTCCTTCATTGCATTAGCAACATGGGTCAAAATGCTATCTCTTAACTCTGACAGCTCTACCATCTCTTCCAAGTCACTCTTAAAAGAAAAGAGAGGTCACTTCAAGCTGCAAAAATAGCAATTATTTAAGGATAAGTGATGATTACACTACTTATAATACTATACTGCAGTTTTTACTATATAGCATGATTTATGCTTGCATTGCCTTATATATATCACATCATATCATTACAGTATCATCATGTTACTCCTTTTTTAACTCACCACTCAATGTGTTAAAATTCCAGTTTGCTTTGTAAATGTGCTCATAGGCAACACAGAATATTTTTATTGCAGATATTCAAAATATAAGTTTCCCATTAGCCTTCAGTCCAAATGTCCATATCATTTTCTCACCTGGTAGCTCAGATGGTGATCTTGAGAAAGCCGTGGAACCAGCTGTGCAGCTTTATAAACATCATTTATTAAACTTTCAACTAAATCATAGAAACCATCTGAAATCCCATATGCAAGAGATGGATAGAAAACAGTGTCGCAGTCTTCCAGTTCAAAACGTACTTCGAAAAGAGGACCAGCACTGACCTATGTGACATAATACATAAAAAAATATTTTGAGTATATAATACTATAGAATTTAAAAGAATTACAAACAAATTATTTGTTTAAAGTAAAATACCTCAGCATACATGTTGTTGGAAAGGAACTGCATGGATACATGAATAACTTTAAAGAATCCATCCAAAACCATATTATCCGTGTATTCTACATATGCCTTCCACACTGGTGTGTCATCAGTTGCTCTAAACAATTTCTTATTCTCCTGCAGAGGAAAACATTTACATAATTGGGTAAGAATGTTGCAATAACAGTTTACATGTATAGCATTTATACTGTGCAAAAAAACAATGTATGTATGCAATTCTAGTCTGACTCAATTAAAATTGATTCTGCTCATTTTCTGGACAAATGATCACTTAAAATATTAAACAGTCAGGTGAAGTACTGTACAGGTCACATCATATAATTAACAGTAAGTGTGATCACCATAGCCTTTAACATATAGACTATCAGAGACATTGCACATCGAGAACAGGGATATTACTCAACATCAGTCATTGTACATGTTGACATTTATAATTCCACAGCTCTCCCCACAAACTCTCTACTGGGCTACAATCTGCCAGTTGACCCCAGATTGCTGCAGAATAGGTAGAGTGACTGTGGCACTGTGGACACAAGCTTTTTTAATGCTAAAAGACGAAATGGTTATGTCAGAAATACTGTAATAACTGAAAGGCCCCAGGTCTCCAATCACTCCACAGTACAGTATAGACAGAAAAATATCAATATCTCAAAGTATTAAAAAAACATTTGCAAAGATAACAAAGATAGTAATATTTTCTTTTATCAAAACATGTTGCTATGAGTGAAGAGAAAGAAAAAATAAAATGCCATCCATTTCTTCCTTGACACATCCCTTAATGAAAAGATTTATCATAATTTAGGCTGTGAAATTGAAGGAAATCCTTTTCCAAGATTCTATTTCTGCATTTTTGGATAACACAAGAAATATCCTCTACAATTTGGAATTTCAGCAATCTCTTCACCTCAAGTAATGCATGAATTTTTTCTCCAGATTCTCTGATGGCTGCATATTTCTTGTTTAATGCATTTACTCTTCCATCGAGATCAAGAAGAGATTCCTTTTTATTGTCCTTTCTCTCAAACATAGGAGAAACTGACCACTCCTGTAAAATATAGAACATTAAATGTCAACTTTTGTCATTACAAAAAGATATGTGGATATAAAACAACCTTTAAAACAGCTCAAATAATTTTAAGGTTAATTAAAAATAACTAGTATTTTTAACTATATTTTTAATTAAGTTGATTAAAACTGAATTTTTCACCTATTTAAAACCTTGCAAATATATTTTGGACTTAAAGTTCCTAAACGCTGGGTCTCCTGAGTGACACAACTAGTGAATCCACTAGCTCAGTGAGAAGGCAGAGTTCTACTCTAGACCAGTGATCACCTCATCTGTGGCAGCCTCCTACCTGGGCTGTATAGGATTAAGTAAATTCATGGACTAAGTTTTATATTTCATGAGTGTGCACAGAGTGGAAACAATCCCACTCTACATTCATAGTAATCTTACTGCTGCTGCATTAGGTCTGCTCTGCAATAGAATGTAAATAAAATGTCACTTTAAAAGACCAAACAATCCACTGTGGTCTAGAAAGCCAGCTAGCCAGTCATGGTATAAAAAAGATGAAGGAACACTGCTGCAGTCTAGAGCAAGTGTTCCAAACTTCAATCCTGTGAAGTCAGGCCCCTGAAGGCTCTATCAATTTCTTTAATTTGGAAAAACCTCAAGAGCTTGAAACATATGTTCAACTGTTTTCCAGAGATCAGGTTTGAATTTGGGAATCCCTGGCCTGGGCTGTACCAGGTTTAGTCCATGGCAACATTAGACAACTGTGACTGGAAATCCCCAAGTGGTGTTGCATGTCTGGCTTCATGTTAAAATGGTTAAGTTAGCATACAATTAGACAGGGTATCTCCCACATCTGCACAAAATTACCCTTTCTGTGAGGTTACATGATACATTAAGTCACATACTGTAAGTCCTCCAACTCTCCTGCAAGAACTATGAATAATGATGGATGTCCATCTCAAACAAATGAGAGCTTCTCATCCTCCCATGCTGGTACAAGGGTAGAAATGGAAAAGCTGAGCTGATTATCAATTGCTGAAAACTGAAGAAAGCTAACAAACTAACTAGAAAGTCTTTATATTATTTTCATAGCTATACTTGCCTCCATTATTAATAAAATGGCTTCAACATTGGATTTGGTCTTATCTATTCTTGTTTCAAAGTCACTGAGTAAATCTCGCATCATCTGTATATATTCCCATACACCTGCCAAACAAATCATTGTTTAGGAATTAAATACATGTAAATACATTTATATAGTGAAAATAACTGCTCTAAAATCAGTGAAAATATTATAATAGTATACAGATGTTAAGAATACCAGCCCACCAGTTTTGCAATAGCACTGTAAAGTCAAAAAATGTTAAATCAGATATTTATGGATAATGTACTGTACATCCCAAACATAGATTATGCAAGTCTGGCATGGCAGTCAGGTCAGGCAAAACTGATCCATTAAGACAAGAGACAGGCATTTGACTTACCCTCACTATTCCAGTGCAGTGTACTTTCACCTTTCTCCAACTTTTCATCTATAGCTTTAAGTTCACTCTTAATAAGAGGAACTTCAACTGCAAGAACTGTTGACCTAATCTGCGAAATATAATTGTTCATAAAATTAAATGTGACATTTTAAAAGTTTTAAAAAAGCAGAACAGCCGGAACATCAGTTAAATGAAAAACCTGAGAAATAAAACAGTGTAAAAGACTAAAACAGATCCAATTAAATCCAGTCTAACTGCTCATAAATTACAGCAGTTTGCTTTTGGTAGAACCAAGAGTCCTCTGACACACTGTCATCAACCATTGGCCTACCAGACTGGAAACTGTTACTGAGGGGTGAGTCTTATTCTTAGCCACAGTTACTATTATGCTCAGCAGGATAAATCTGGGGCCCTGTAGTGGCTCAATCTGTAACAAATTCTCAAATCAGAGACCAAGTTGAGTTCTGTGCACCAAATATTGCTAGTTTTAGCCTGGGACATGCCAACCACGGCTGAGATTCCTCGAGCAGCAGGCTGTGTTTTGAGTGCTGCTTGAGGAATCAATATGTACAGTATTGATTTATTACTATATAAAAATACTGCTTAAACCTGATAAAACATTTATATATAATTTCTGTTTTACATTACTTTTATATAAAGACATACCTTATTGTACCAGGATACAATCAGATCCAGATTGCCAACATACATTCGAAAGGTTTCATTTTTGGCAAAAACATCTCCAGCACTTAGTGGGATATTTTCTTGACCCAGAATAGTCAGGTACTTCACCTCACGGAGAACTGCAACCAACTACAAACATAAAATAAACCTTATGGAAACTTATTTGCAATTCTGTCTTTTGTAGTTTATAAAATATTGATATTATCCCAAACAGTCTCATGCTAGTTAATGAAAAAACAAATATGCTAACCTGTTTGTTAAAGTTAACTCTTAAGAAATTAGTCTTTGGGTTGCGCAAGATCAGGGGCTGGTCTAGGTTGAAATGGCAGTCTGTGTCTACTCTTTTGGTCCATCCATTATATACAAGCATACGATAATTCTGGAGTAAGTTCAACATTTCATCGTATTTGTAGAAAACCATCCTGGCTTCATCCGTTAACATGCAGCTGAGAAGAATAAACATTTTAATGTTACTCAAAGAATTCATGAAGACAATTTAAAAAAGGTAATATGAACAAAAGATTAGATGTATTTCTGCTAATAAAATAATAATTTCAAAGGCATACATTAGCTAATAAGATTGGTAAGAAAGACTGAGAATCTTTAAAAGAACTATAAATCAACCTCTTCCACAATAACTCAAAATCCACTCCAGTCTCTTCCAGTATGAATTACTTACGGGTGATTTATAGCTTTGAAGCTTTTCATGGGCGTCTGGATCCTGTCTCGCAGCTCTTGTGCCCATTTCAGCTGACCGGCTATGTGGGGCAGGTTTTTATTGATGGGTGGAACATCTCCACTTGCTTTCATAGTTGCCATCTGAGCATCATACACCAGCTTTGCTCTGTCTAACTCAATGTTAAACATCTCAACCAAGTCTTTGTATTTCAAAGACATCTGTGATTTTATGTCAGGACGCTCCAAAAGGAAACCAAACATGTCAAAAAGCTAAAAGGAAAATTATATTAATAATTCTGTGGTATTCAGTACAGACTTTTTAAAACATATAACACTAATAATAGGAAGCAGTTACATTTGTTTCAAACTCCATTTAAAATAAAACTTTACATCTATTGAAAAAGTTGTATTCTGTAAACCATTAAACTACATTCTCAAAGCTTCAAGGCCATGAAACACAACTCAATCTTCGCAAATAAGATTTATTTTGTAAGCATGCACAAATTGCAATCTTTAAAAAGCGTAGATAGAACAAATAAAGACAAATGATACCCAACACCATAACATTTATAGACAGAATAACTTACTTTTACAGTAGATTCAATAGATGAACAGTCATCAAATGCCTGACTAAGCACAGTTCCCAGCCTTCTGTCATAATCCTGAATTTGATCCCGGAAATTGGCAAAGCTTTCATCAAATGTCTATTGAAAATAAAGAACAAAAGGCATAAGGCAATAATAACTTTGTAGACACTTCATGTTTTCAACCTTTCAGTCTGAACAAACTGTATAACACAGGCTTCAGATATTTCAAAATGAACACTGATTCACTAATGAGAGAAGAAGAAAAAATCCAAACCACTACATTCTTCATTTTGAAAGAAATCCTATCAAGGGCATTCCATCTAGGATATATCAGGGAACTGAACATAAAGCTCAATTAAGATCAGTGATCTAATGCAGTTTCAGTTATATTTTCAATGTTTAAAGCTAATGAAATACTGTATAAAGTGTGCAGTAAGAGTTTTTCAAAACAGCTGCAATAGTTCACTGTGGTTCAAAGGGCTGAACATGAAGCCAACTGGTCAAAACATTAACTCTTGCAACTAATCTCACTTTGTCATCGGGGTCCAGGGTGTCATATTTGCACTCTGCAAACACTTTGATCAGCTCCAGGAACTCCTCATAGATAGAGAACACCATGGTCCCCAGGGCACTGCCTCTCACACCTTGAATATCTACTTTCTCCAGCTTCAGAAACTCCACCGAGATGTGATACAGTGCCTAGGAGACAAAAAGTGATGTATCCACAAATTATTCTGGAAAAATATATATTTTTCAGAAAGAGCAAAAATACTGTTAATCATTTCTTATAACTATAATTCCACAATTGAAAAAAATGTAAACCAAAAAATCAAATATATTAATTGATGTGCAAGACTAGCTATTGTGGAGTTATCAGTCAATTCCAATTTTGCATTTCCCAAAAAAAGCCTGGCAGAGCTATGATTATATAATGAGCAAGCAAATGTACTGAAACTTTTAATATTATTTACATAATTAAACGATAGAATAAATTGCAACAAATCGCATAAGCAAATTTTCTTCAGGGCAGGATTAACTTGTTCAGTTGTTCAGGCATTTAATACCTCAATGGTCTGTAAGCGCTGTAGAAATGCATCAAGCCTTGAGAAAACAAGGTACGTGGGGAATTCCCAGTGCTTTGTCTTTTTATCCTGACAAAACAGAAAATGAAAAATGTATTTTTCATGTAACATTTTAAAGTAAACATTGCATAAATAAACAATGCATACATGGTTACATTATAATGATTTTACACATTACTTAAACAGCAATCTGAAACAGAAACTGGAATACCATTAGAGCATTATACAAGATAGACAACAACAAAAGGTTACTGACTAATGCAAATAATTAAGCAATCTGAGACAATTAGACATCGCAAAAAGGAGGAAAGGTCTTTTTCTCAAGGTGAGAATTTTTTGTATAATTATGGGAGGAATTTAAAAGCCTGTGAAGTGAATACAGATCATTAAGGTTTTTTTTTTTATAAATGTAAGGTTATCATAATAAAGCTGTTCTTACAGTTACTTATGTTTAGCAGTAAAAATAACTGTGAAAACCTGCCTTGAAAAAACCATCCATCTTTGACCTGCACTGACCGTACGATTCCCTGAGAGTCTCCAATGTGAGAGCACTCAGTTTTATTTTTGCATGTACTTCGTCTGTTTCTCCTTGCAGCCCCTTCAGCACCTCATCTGGCCCTAAAAAACCTCTGGTCTGATAGAAATTATAATACTTTTAATAACTCACACAGATCTCAAAATGGACTCAAACCTTTCTTTTAAACAACAATTAATTGTACCAATTCAATAAATAGGTTGCAGATCTCTTGCAGAATGACAATAATTCTCTCAGGATGACAGTAGTACTCTGAGTTTGCCCAAATCAAACAAACTGTGTGCATCACTGCTCCAACATAGGAAGGCAACTAGGACAAAAAAAAGAATCAGACTGTAAATGAACTTGAACTGCAGACACACATTAACACATGCAGATATTAAGATGAATAAGATGAAACATTTAGACATTTTCATTTGAGAGTCTTCATGAAGTTCACGCAGCATGACATTATTTGAAAACATTTCAGATTAAATTTAGAGAATTCAATAAACGATCTTGAAGTCAATGCTGCTGGAAATTACAGGACTCCTGCTTTTTTTATGAAGTACTACTATAGTTTCAATTCAGTGACAGATTGTTTAAATGATTATTTACCAATGAATAGTCCACTTGCTCCACTTCCTCCAATACCTTGTGCAAGGGTTTCAGGTAGAGAACAATATCCTTGGCCTCTTTCAATCCTGCATTGCAAAAACAGACCATGTGGTGATGCAACTACAGTATGTAAAGTCTCCATGACAGCAATATGGAAACAGTTAATCTGATTTGTAACTTACCTTCATTAACATCCCTGTAAATGCTCTTCAAAGCTGGCCAGTAGCTGCTGGCTGCCCTTTCCACTATCTCAGCTATTTTGCGTACTTGTGGATTCAACAGCTTTAAGTGAAAAATGGGGTTAAATAATTATGGACTACTTTTTCATGGTTAAAGAGCTTGAGCATTATTTCAATTCTTAGTTACCTGTTCATAAATGTAATCAAGATTCCTTAGCCTGCAGTTCCAGAAATCAATCTCCACTTTAGGCAGAGGGTTTAGCCCATCCAAAATCGGCTGTGCAGAGTCCTTACTCAAAACATCTTTAATCTGGTGAGTCCACTCTATTATTACCGTTTCAAAGGCATGCATTAGCTTGCCGTCAATAGGAGGGGGGAATCTACAGTAATAAGAACAGAAAACAACTCAGAACATCTCTTTAAAAAAACATGAGAAAACTGTAACAATGTGAAACTAATGCAAACGGTCAGGACAACATTTTGGAGAGAAAAGGCACAACCAAACTAGAAAATTCACTTTATGAATAAGAAAGAAAATGTATTTCAAGAATGTCATGATTAAACACTGCTCGTAACTGCACACACCCGAAGAAGACTACATAGCCGAAACGTTGTTTCTTGTCTTCTGTTTTCAGCACGGAATAAACCTTTGCCTGTTCGTAAAACCTTGTATCCTAACCTTTATTTAGGGTGCAAATCAAAACTGAAAATAAGAGATTTATTTTAATTAGAGGCGGTACAATTGCGAAATGAGGGGAAACGCCAATGAACATAGAGAAGCCAGGGCGACAGGGCGTGTCTTACCTGCGGCCCTCGGGGTCCACTAACTTGTCAGCATTTTCGGGCAAAGGAAGGTGTGTTTTGCCTTTAACTTGCCCTCCAACAACACACATTTCATTCTTCAACTTGTGAGCACGTCTGCATACATCGTCTGCCACCACTCGCGGCCAGCCTCGCATATTATCACTGTTGGTGTGCAATGAATAAACCACCTGGGGGAAGAAACACTCATGTACTGGATGCCTGCCTGGGTTGATTTGTGCAGACGGTAAAAATGTGGATCTCTGTATATTGTAGGATGCGTCATCCTAAATATCCGATTATTTAAAAACGTATTGATTGTTTAGGAAACGAAAGCTTTGCGTTATCAATTTCACTACAGGTTGTGAGAAGATATTTTTCCACCACATCACTAGCAATTGTATTGTCAGTTCTTCCAAGTAGCCATATTCCAAGGGAATATTCAAATTTGTGCTCTAAGCGAGGCTGACCGTAGATTCGGTTAACTTAATGTTGTGATAACTGTTGAAACTGCTACTGTACATAGTAGTACATAATTTATAGTAGTTGGCAACTTATTTCACCTCTTCCACCACGGTGATTAGCTCGTCTACGGGCGAGAAGGCGACGTCTCCAACGAGGAGGTTTTTAACGCTGTCTTTCGTGATCACTTCCTTGTTCTTCTTGATAAAATAAACAGCCTTGTTTTTCAAGGAGCGCGGGAACTCCTGGTTAGCTACTAGTTGGGCTGCTTGATTCATGGAAATGATCAAAACCAAAACGTCTGCTTTCTCAAAGAAATTGTAAACAATCAGTCGGTTCTCTTCCGTGGCTACAAACTTCGTCCATTTGTCAGCTTTCTGCTTTAGGGTCTTTAACGTGAAGACCTGTAAATACTCTAATCTTTTGTCTTGTTCTTCCATGTCCGTTGGTTTCTAAAATTATCCGCTACTTTGCATCACTGAAACACTTGTCAGTATACCCTCGGCAAACTACCTGATTTTACACGAAACTTCAATTTCTAAACTGCGAAAAACTGGCCTTTAGTTCTCTCTGGACAATAATTTAAAAAATAATCCAAGTATTATAAAAAGACAATAACATTTTACTAAACGGAATATATAAAATGGTGCGTTAGGCTAGTAAATTGTTGTCTTTTAAAAAAAGTCCCAATTTATCCGTTAAAAAATGGAACGCGGGCCACTTTTTTAAACGGAAAGGTTTCAGTCTGAACCATCAGTAGGCGAATGGGTGGATTACGATTAATTACATGTGCTATAAACGTACCGTGGAGAATTTAACGCTCCACAGTTCAAACCTCAACAAAAATTATCACCGAAATACCCAATATTTTAATATTCAGTAACATAAGTTTTAGTTAGTCTCTTTCACATTTTCATTGTGGATGTATTACACTCCCCCACTCCCCTCCCCAGCCAGCAAGGTAGAATCGAAAATCTGAAGCGCTGGTGAACCTGTCCCGTGAAGCAGTAAATTTAAATAAACTCAAAACAGAGTTTTAAGAATTACAGTTCATATTACAAATAAATATATAATTTAATATTAGAATATTAAATAAGCTACAGTGAATCAGTCCACTTTAAAACAATTAGTCGATGTGCCCTTTAAACGATTAATGTTAGGTTTCGGAAAAAATAAGTCCCCTTAAGATGCCCTAGCTACAGAACATGGTGTAGGATTAAATCACTAAATTATCTCTATATATATAGTTGGTTTTACAACATTTAAGCAATTAAAACCTAACATTTTGGAATTGCACGCTTACGACAGTGACCATTTGTCTGGTATCTCGTCTAACGATGTGTTGCAGTACCACCAGCAGCAGTAATACGTGTTGGAACGTCTTCAGGGTGTTATCTTACTTTTTTTTTAAATTACGATATGCTGCTTTAGTGAAGTTCCTTCTGTTTGATTAAAAAAGTAACCACAGTGCTTTGTTAAAGGGGGCACAACTATAGATAAAACCTTAGAGTGGTTCTAATTTCTTTCAGTCGTTGTACTGTTTTGTGTAACGTGTGTAAACAAGAAATCACTGAGGTTGATGGCAACGTTAATGGCATTCAGTCCAGACTGTTGTCTTCTGTTTAAGTGTAAAACTGACCATGAAATTTCTTAACAAAGGCGGTTTAGCAACAGAGGATCGCCAAATCCCTGTTTGGAGTAAATATTTGCGTGAATCTGATTACTTGTTTCCTGGAATTGCCCGCTTCACTCGCGATATGTGGGCAGTAATGGAGAAACGCTTTAACATTGACGTAATGCCTAGCATTAGCCATTTAATAAATCCATAAAAAGAAATAACCAACCCATTCTCGGATAAATAAATAATTAGTCGAAGTGTCATGTTGCCAGTCGCAAAATAAATAAACGGAGATCCACACGTTGAGGTCTGTGAGAAAACATTTTCTGCCTTTTATTCCATTCTATTTTTTATTCCGTTATTAAATTCCATATCCTTGTTACAGATGCAGTTCTGTGGATTTTAAAGGACACCTCTCTTGCACAAGTGCGCAGATTTGGCCTTCAGTAACCACAGGGGCTACTGAATGAAAATTAGTATGCTTCAAAACCACAACCACTTACAAAAGTCTCTACTGTATATCTCGAAGCACTACAAGGTCACACCTTCTGTTATTTCTAAGAATTCATTAAAAAAAGTACCTTTTGAGCCACTTTGGTCCATTATGTAATTCTCTGACACACTTATAAGATCAGTGGTCGTCTTTCTCTATGGCGAGAAACTGTAGCAAACCAAGTTGTGAAAAAGTTTTATTGCCTTCTGAATGAAGTATGCACTGAAGAAGTCTAGTTTTCTATAGAACTATCAGATAGGTATTTTAGAGATATGATTAATCTCTAAAAACCACAATGCAAACACAATGAGAACCCAGCCTGCAGAAAATCGGGACATCCAGTCTCTCAACTTCATAGTTGAGAACCTTTTTTTTCTGTTCTGCTGAAGTAGCTGGTTATTGTCCCCAGTGTTTTTTTTTGTTCCATGTCTCACAGAAAACTGAATCCCTTCATGGAAGATGAGGCATACAAGGTATCTAAAGCGGAAGTGCACTGTGACACATTTACAAGCAAATTCTGCCAAGGTTTTGACGTCAATCAGACATGGCTGACGGTAACAGGAGGTTAAGGATGAAACGAGCACCGAGAATCACACAATGATACTGGTAACAGGAAATTAAAGCCGCCGGAACATTCAATGCTGTAATAGAAAGGTGTGTGAAACTGCTCCTTTGGAACCCTGTGGAGCCAGCGCTCACAATATGAGTGACCTGGATGTGTGAATGTTGTTCTACACACGGCAGGCCTGGCAATCCTCCCCATTGCATTCTGGGAACAGGAAGTCAGATGGAACAATGTGAACCTCTGAAGTGAACTCCACCACTGTATTTACAGTATGGGCCATGGGAAAGTCACCTATTAGGAAGAGCAGCACTCAAAAACTCAGATATACAGTTAATATACACACTGTACATAGATGCTATACAATAGCATCAATGTTATTGTATAGCATTTTCTTATAGCATATAAGATACTATACAATGTAAGAAGGAAGATGCTATACAATGTTAGAAAAACACATGAACAGATGAATGAGTCCCCCAGAAGTCCCTGGATGTAGACAGCTGTCCAGCCCTCTTTAGGAATACGAAACAATTTCTTATATGCCTCAGCAGCCTTTGAATCCAGAGAAAACAACAGTGTATATGCTGCATTCCAGTACATTAATAACTGAAAACAAAATAAAACTTTATTCCCTGGGTCTATTGTACTTCTTTCTGTTGTATATGAGAAGAGTTAAAAGGCACATTTAGGTCACTTGACTAGCATGGACTTCCTGCCTATTCCGGTGTATCTTCCACGTTGCACTGATCTGAGCTTTCAGGAGTAATTAAAATGCCTTAAACACCTTTTAAAAAACTTTCACACCACGCTTGCAGATTTGCTCCTTTGCTGATGCTCTTACCAGCCATGTGACGGGAGTGGGCCACCAGATAATGGCGCAGAATTCAAGGATGTCGGGGTCCCCTAGGGCTGCCCCAACCCAGCGGAAGCCACGCCTTCAACATCAAAAAGCAATGATGCATTTCACAGACTCCAGGCTAAGCTCAAAGGTTTTAGCTTGGCAAGCGTGCACATCACACACTCTCGGGTACCGGCCATAGCTGGGAAGTTCAAAACTCACACGAGACCCTGCTGTTGTCGAGCCACCTTTGAGTGAGACGGATCATCCGCTCTGCTCCAGTAAAATAACTACAGTAGCTGTCTAAATGTGTGCAGATGTTGACACACTTTGGCTGTAAGCTTCAGCCAAATAATTAGTAGTAATAAACATTTGCAGTGAATATGTTCTCCCCCAGAAAATATTGAAGTGTGTCTCAGCTGCTGAAACGTAAGCCATGCAGAGGAAAAAAAATAAAGAGGAGTGTTCCAAATACATTTCATTGAATGCAACAATTTTTTTTTTGAATTGGTACAGACAGAATTAATGATGCCAGGCTGCTACTTTGGTCATCACTGACAGCAGGCTGTGAGAGCTTCTGCCGCCTTCCATTCACAGCATTGGCGTGGTCAGTAGGCACACTCAGTGGCTCAGTGCCAGTGTAGAGGTACTGTAAATGGCTCCTGTGGCTTTTGACTACAGAGAGAATACAAAGCCCAGGATTAAGCAAAGTATAGTGCTTGTGAAGGCAAAATATTGATCCCCGGAACCCTGCGACAAAAGCTTACAGAGCCTTTTCAGACGAGTATTTTTTCGACTATCAATAAAGTAGAATGATTTCAACCCTCTGTTTAAACTGAGCATTTGTAGCCACAGCTCCTACCTTAAACAGACTAAATTACTTTTTGGCAAACGGACAATCCACCCTGGAGCAGCGCAGAAAATTCCAAAGAGCTAAGCGAATATGAAACCAAGACTTGTTGGAGCGCCGCTTCGAACTTACTGTGCTGGTTAGAAAGGTAGAGGTGGGAATACTGCATGGAGATTTTAAGATCCCAAGTTAAGATTACTGTCATTATCTGGGAATGTGCTGTGTGAGAAGAGTGGAGTTGGGGAGGGCTGTAACCCTGTCCTTTTTACAGTGCTGTGTGGGTCTGTGCTGGTTCGGCATGGCGCTGAGGGAGAAGAAATGCAGGGGCCAAAACAGACGTAGCCTGTGATCATAACCACTATGTGCAGTTTCTCCAAAATCCTGAAAGGGGGAAACGATATGATGCACAAGCTGTATACTCTAGGTTGCCGAATATGTTCAAGTCACGGGGCACTTGCTTTGTTTGGTGCTTGACGTGGTGATTGACACCACAGATTCCCCTTGTGGTGCCCCTGTGTGTGTGGAGTTTGCATGGTCTCTCCACATTCATATGGGTTTGTTGCCATGGACTCTGTTTTCCTCCCACAGGTAAGGCCTGATTTGCTGCTCCAAATTGTCCCTCTCTAGGAGTTTTATACATGTGGGGGCCTTTTTCCTTTATAATCAGCCTGGCTATAGGACTAGGGGCCAGATGGTCTACTCTTGTTTGTGGCTGTTTGATATTCTGTCACAGGTTTCCCGTATCTAGTCCTGGAACAGAAGACAACAACGCTGCAGATTTTCATTGCAGCACAAATCTTAACATTTTAATTGCGCTGATTGTTGATTTATTTGGGAGCAGTTTACCAGATATTCTCATGTCTTCAGGAGCTGTTGATTCAAAGAGACTTATCAAACCTGCAGGAATTCAACCCTCTAGGACAGCAATCAGGAAAACCCTCATGTTTTGCTTTAATTGTTCTCCTGGGCAGGAATCAAGCTATAAGCTATTCCTGCCTGTCAGTCATTTAGGTCTCTAAAATGTCAGACACGCAACCTTTGGTTTTGGTGAGAATGTACTGAACATATAAGGAACCATTCCTTTCTTTGCGAAGTTCCCGATCTATGATCTGTACTTTGTGTGAAATTTCACTGGGCTCTTAAGTATGAGAGATTTTAATATTCATAGTGATTTCTAGCACTCCTCACAGTGACTGAATTGTTTGCACTTTTGGACTCTTTTGGCCTTAAACAGTTAGTCAATTAGCTGGTCAGTTAGTTGCCCCTACTCCCAATAGGGGTCAAGTCTAAATTTAGTTATCAGTAAATTCCTGTTAGTTTCTA